CAGTCGCCGCCGCGGACGTTCCCCCCGCACCTTTGGACCGGCACGTTTTCTTGCTTCCGTGGCGAGCGTACCTGTGGGGGGCGTACATCATGTTGGGGTAGTCGGTGTTCACGACGTGAAGGTGAGAATAGGACGACGGCACCAGAGCTGCTCCGGGGTCTTGCAGACCTGAGATCGTCCAAGGAAGTGCCACCACCTGGACGTGGTGGATGAGCAGCCCACTTTGTGGTTGACGAAATTAACGGCGAGAAAAATGTGAAATGTTTTGATTGGTCGAGGTTTTCTTCTACCTCGCTGTCGATTGGACAGAATTTCACGTCGACACGTATCCACAAACGGTGCAGGGAAAAGTCGCTGCCCCACGTCCGCCTGTCTTCGACAGCATCGCGCCGAGCAGCGCCAAGTCCAGTGTGCACATCAACCAGTACAACGTTGTTGAGCCCGTCCACATCGAAACGCGATGGAATGAGGGTCATGAAGGAGCTAGGTTCGAGCTCGGTGCCGCTGTAGAAGTGGCCGCACAGGTCGAGATACGCCACGGTTCAAACCGATAACGTTACCTTGAGGGCCATAGAGCGTGTTGAGAAGAGCAGAGTTTCATTTTTGGTAGGACGTTAAAGGTAAAACCAGACGTAGCCATCGATGGCATCCATACCCACGTTTCCAATCTGCATACATAAAGATGCCCTTCGTGGCACATACCCTTTCCATCGACTATTTCGTTATTGTCATTCGTGTGAACCGTGGCGCTCGACGTTGGTGTAGACAACGTCTAAGAAAAGTCACTGGGGCTCCGACACTTCCGGCGTTTGTTGCTTCGCAGCTGTAGCTAGACAAAGACGTCTGATCTAGTATGTCGCAGGGAATCCCCAGACTGTTTATTCCCTGCGCACGGACGAAGGCACACCGAGCGATGTTAACGTCGTACAGGCCGTCCGCGTCTCAATGACGAGCCATCATCGTCAACCAAAAAAAGTCTCTCGTCAGCACGCTGAAAGTGTCTGCCAATGACCGTCGAGATGCGAGGATGGAGCAACCAATCAATGAATTGCTGCGAATTTTTCGTCCTTTTGGTGGAAAATGCACTTTTCGTACAAGGTGGGACGTCGTCACGTCGGCTGGGAACGACGAAAACATGATACATTTTCAAATTTCATCATGTCTGCCTCCTCGAGTGTTCTCCACTGCGTGTTCAAGGGCTGCCCCAACGTCCGCCTCTCGTTCACGGACAAGTGCGCGTTTCACAAAAGTCGCAGCAAGTGCTGTGTCCAAGACTGCCCCAACATGGTGTACGCCCGCAACCGGTGCGTTCGCCACGGAGGCAAGAAAACGTGCCAGGTCCAGGGGTGCGGGGGGAACGTCCGCGGCGGCGACTGGTGCACCAAACACGGAGGCCACATCGTCAAGCGGTACTGCACGACGGAGGGGTGCACGAAGCAGGCGCACGCACAGCAAAAGTGTGTCAGTCACGGCGGAGGCCGGTACTGTCGAGCCCCGGGGTGCAGCCAGCACATTCGCGTCGGCGGGTTTTGCAACCAGCACCAACCGTCCAAGTCGCCCCCCTCTTCACCCACGAGCACGTCGACCTGCGTGTGGTGGGAGTCCGTCCTCCATGCATTGTACGTCAGCAGCGGCGCCGAAGACCTGGTCGATGACGACGATCTGACCTGGGTGGACGACTTTACAGCCATGTTCGTGTAAACCCACAATGCACCTAACTTATTGCATACAAGTCTGCGTTGGGGTCGTGCCAGCATTCCCTGAGGGCGCGCATGTATTAGTTTTTGAAAAAACACGCTGATTTCTCGAATTTTTTTCTACCCAACGACCCACACGACGCCTCATCAATTCGAAAAATGCTCGCTCCTCTCCGCGGCTGCTGCCACGACATTCGCCGGAACTTCTTTGTGAAGCCCACGAACACGATTTCCAACACTTAATCGACCACCCAAGCCATCCTTGGACGGACCAGTATATACACATCGGACGACGCCCGTTTTGAATTGGCTTGACTCTTCAAATCAAGGCGTGGCCACCACAATACGTCTTCACTGAACAACGATCGTGGAAGCGCCTCCTATTCAACCGTGCTGGTCGTGCCGTCGCATCAGATCTTTTCCTCCTACCAATACGACGGGTATTTTCAGCGTCATGACAAGTCGTTCATGTGGAAGTTGCCACGTCGGCCAGTTCTCGTTGCGTGATTCACAACGGGCTACTCTCAGGTCATTTTCTACGGCTGATGGCAGCCCCAAAGTTGTCACGGTCTCGTCATGGCCCAAGTCGAGTAAGGGCGAAGACATCGCCAATGCGATGTGCTTGCTGGTCACGTGCAGAGGGCGAAAAATCTCCAACAAAAATGCTCATTTCCCAGATTTTTTGGGGTCATTTTTTTTGTTTTTCAGCACTGAACTTCCATTCTTGATGGCACCGACGACCAGGCAGCGCGAAGATGCACACTGCATTCCGCAGGACACCACGGCACTCAAAGCCCCCTTCATCCCACACGCGATGGCCCACACGAACGAGGCCAGTGCGCTCGATTTGGCATGATCACTAGCCCTCTCCCAGCTGTAAAGACATGGAGTGGAATCCAATTGGACGTGTAACACGTCGATAGAATATAACGAATGCATGTAACTCTTGGTAGAGTTTCAAGCATTCAGGAAAAGTTTGGTGGCCATCGTGATGGAGCCGTCTCCGCGCGGAGAAGCCGTCCTTACAGAGACACCAGCAGACCAAGTGGGACCTGAGTGGACCCCTGCGCTCGGCGCTGCGTCACCCACGCTCATGTACGACCGCACTTCGGTGGAGAAGACGTGGAAGGTCAGTACGCCGTCGTCCTTGTCTCCTTCCCATTGCGGTGGATGGATCACTTCCCTGTGAACTAGACTCGAATCATGAGGCGAAACTTCATCATCGGGGCGTTTATCTTGGTCGTTGTCGCTGCCGTGTCGTCCGTGATCACGTTCACCTTGGTTGCGCCACGACCTTCCCTACCCGTCGGCTGCGACGCGTCCATGTTGCTCGGCACGGACGTCCAAGTTCCCGTCGCTGCGTTGAAGTATATGTGCACGGACAACCAGTGCGTCCAGCTCAACCTGACCAAAGACGAAAGAACCAAGGCCTCGACGACAACGGGGCCCGGCATTATCAGCCTGCGCGTGTGCGAAATGACGTGCGGCAACGGATCCATGCTTCCGATGCCGCAGTCGGTCGCGTTTTCGAACCCGACGACCGTTCCTGTCGACATCGAATCCTTCTCGCATTCGATTACTGGAAATATCGAGAACAACGACCTAGTCAAGGCCATGCAGGCTGCGTTTGCCAGCGCGTTGGCCATGAGGTCGCATTTAGCACTGGGCGGGACGTCCACATCGGGGAAGAGCGTCAAAATCGTGGCAACGATCCAATCGCCCATCACGAAATTGACTCTGGACACAGACGAAGCGTACGAGATGTCCATCGCCGACACGACCGTGACGATTCGAGCCGCCACAGTGTATGGTTACCGCCACGCGCTGGCGAGTCTGCTGCAGCTCGTAGACTGGTGCGACCTCACGCGCACGTTTCGGATGGTGGCGGCGGTATCTATCAAGGACAAACCAGCGTACAAACACCGCGGGATCATGGTCGACGTCGCGCGCAACTTCATCCCGATGCCGATCATCGAGCGCCTTGTGCGAACGATGGGGATGCACAAACTGAATGTGCTGCACTTGCACTTTACTGACTCGTCGTCGTTCCCACTGGAAATCAGAGGCGAGCCCCGGTTCAACCAGTACGGGTTGTATCAGAGCAACATGGTGTACACGCAGGCCCGTGTGAAGGACCTCGTGACTTTTGCCAAGGCCCACGGTGTCAAGGTCATTCCAGAGATCGACGCGCCGGCGCACGCAGGAGCAGGGTGGCAGTGGGGGCCTGAGTTCGGGCTTGGTGAGCTCACATTGTGCTGGGCGAACACTCCGTGGATGGCGCATTGCCTGGAGGCGCCGTGCGGTCAGCTCAACCCGCTCAACGACAACGTGTTCGACCTCCTGGACGTCGTGTGGAAGGAGATCGGGGCCATGTTCGACTCGGACGTGTTTCACTTGGGAGGCGATGAAGTATTCTTCGATTGCTGGATCGACTCGCCCGTGGTGGCGGAAAAAGTCCTCAACAAAACCAATCACGCCGAATACGTTGCGATTTGGGCCGGCTTCCAAGAACGCGTGCAAAACAAACTGTGGGCGCGCGACCCGTCCAAGAAAATCACGCTCTGGTCCAGCGACTTGACGTCGGCCCCCTACTTTTCGCAGCTCCCGACCGACAAGGTCACTGTGCAGACGTGGAACATGCTCTGGATGAACGAGCCGCGCCTGTTTACGGACGCCGGGTATCACTATATTGCATCGTTCCAGGAAGCGCATTACCTCGATTGCGGCCTGAATGGGGTCGCTCGCAAAGACAACGGGTGGTGCGCCCCGTACAAAACGTGGCAAACCATCTACGACCAGCCATTCAACCCGAACGTGACGGCTGAAAACAACCATCTTGTGTTGGGTGGCGAGCTCGTGCTGTGGACCGAAGTCACAGGCGCGTCCGCGCTGGAGGATAAGATTTGGCCGCGTGCGTCGGCGTTTGCCGAGCGGGCATGGACGAACCCGAGCTTAAACTGGTCCAACGCCATGGATCGCATGACGATCGCCGCGCATCGCGTCGTCGAAAGCGGTTCGGCTGCAGACATGCTCCAGCCGCTCTGGTGTCGACAGCATCCTGGCGAGTGCACACTACTGCTGAAGTAGTGGTGCCAAAGCAGTGACCTATATATGACGTACGTTAGGTACATAACCACTCTCGGGTAGTACAAATTGTAGCCGCAGATCGATATGCGTGACGAGAAAGATACCGTGGGGACGATGGAGAGGAGATCCGTCCACTGTGGACGGATCCACGCTGGTCGGATATCTCCGTGGTCGACGCGCAGCAGCCAGCGACGCGAGGTCGAAATGGCATGCTGACATACCCTCTGATGTCAGATGCGGAGGGAGCTCGGTGATGCTACAAACGTGACGGTTGGACTCGGCGCTCGTTGTGTCTGGTCGGTGGACTCGAGAGTCCATCGCACACTCCCCGCAGTCCAGTGGGAAAGGCACACGCTGTACGTACAGGGTAACAAGGACAAGTCGCACGAAGCGCCTCGTCGATCAGTCACGCGTGTGCTGCGAGTTGTAGCACTTGGTGGGTGGTCGGAGTGCGGGTCGGCCCACGGCGTGGTCGAGCTGACTTGTGCCTCGTTGAAAACTCCCATATGATTGGTTAAAAGGCATTAACATAATAGGATCGGATTGGTCATTCTATTCATATATATTGATTGGCTCTCGTTGTGAAGTCAACTTCTGATTGGCCATTGCTTTCTGCAATGTGCCTATCGGTCCAGTTGGGCACATGGCGGCGGGATGTAGGCGGGACAATGCAACTCCCCAGCCGCAGAGACGCAGAACGCGCCCCACGATGCCGGTGAAAGGCCACCGCACCTGCGTCCTGTACATCCGCTTGACACAGAGGCAGCGTCGCTCCCTGTAGGAAGGTCGTGGTTTGCCCACCAGGTCCGTCCCCTTCCCCAGGACAAAGATCCCACTGCTTCCAGCAACGAAACCCTACGTAGGCACAGCCCCCGCCATCTGCCGCAGCCAGTGGAGGCTTCAACGAACAAGTGTGCTGTGGTGGGGTTTCATAATGGGTCGTACTGAACCGTGCTGGTCCGAGGGCCAAACGTACCGCGCACGCACTGAGTTTATGCGTGCTGTTCGTCGACGTGCTGGTTGAGGCATGCACACACACACGGATGATTTTTTGCCCGGGTAAACACAGTCTCCCTGGGTGATTCAGAGTCAAAAGGCATAAATATATGAATGTTATGGAACCATAGCCAGTGGCTGGCTACGTGCCTATAAATACGCGACCACGGACCGTCGTCGCCACATACGTCTCTGTGATAGTGCTCTGTCTTGGCGTCTAGGCATGCACGCCCGAGACAGAGAACACGTCTTGGGCGCCGCTCATGAGGTCGCTGTCGAGCGCAAAGATGTCAAACAGGCTGGACGAGTTGGTCGCCAACGTCGGGTCGTGCAGCGTGAACAGGTCGAACGACGTGTCCTTGGGCGACTCGACGAATTCGTACGACGATGGCATCTTGGGGAGGAACTGCTGCATGGGAGGCATGACCATGGGGACAGCCGACATGGCCGGGAGAAGCCCCGCGTACGAGATGCCCATGAGGTCGGGGTGAAGCGTCCAGAGCACGTCTTGGGTCAACTGCAGCCACTTCGAGTACATGGACGCGTTCGACGCCGCGACGTCTGGCGAGACCGTGTCGATTTCGGGGAGGAGCGGAAGCGGCGCGAGTTCGAGTTCGGGCACTGGCGCCGTCGAGACACCGTCGAGGAAACTGGACGGGCTGTGAGCTTCCGACTTGACAGACGCCGTTGACGACGACGACGACGCGTCAGCATCGTATTTGCAGTTTTGGTTGTGCTTGTGACACAAGCCGCCTTCGCGCGCGTGATGCTGGCATCCGGGGGTGCGGCACAGGCGGCCCCCGCCATGGCGAACGCACAGCTGCTTGGCGTGCGCCTGTTTCGTGCACCCTTCAACGCTACAGAATCGCTTGACGACGATGCCGCCGTGTTGAATGCAGTAGTTGCCACCGCGAGCGTACGAGTCGCACCCGTCAAAGTGGCACTGCTTCTTGCCGCCGTGGCGGACGCACAAGTTGCGCGCGTACACTTGGTTGTTGCAGTCTTTGTACTTGCACTGGCGTCGGTTCTTGTGAAACGCGCACTTGACCGACCCTGGAATCGCATTGTTTGTGCAATCGTTGAACGTGCAGACAGCAGCCATGCCGAGGTGGGTCGTCTTCTTTCGTGGGCGAATGCAAATTGAAAAGTGCCCGATCCCTCGACCGCGTGCGGCTGCCAAGACAGTGGCACGACCTCGAGGCCCGTGTGCCCAGTCCAGTGGCGGCGGCTCGCCTTTCTCGGCACCACATTGCCATTTTGTGGACGCGTTTGATTGGCCACCACAAATTTCATCTGAGATTCGACCGGTTTCACCTTCTCGCCCGCGTCCATACAAATGCCAAGTCTATCGTCGACGGGCCGTTGGATCGTTCGACGAGTGGTCAGTCGCGCCGCCCTTCTCCACGCGCGTGAAAATCCATCACAACAATGGAAACCCCATGGACGGGTGGCCAGTCTATGAAGCCGCCCCCACTTTTGGATGGTGCGTGGAGGTGCGGGTTGTCCACGAACGGATGGTGGTCGATTGATCCCCCTCCGTCTGGAACACACCCTTGTTCTTGGCACGCAACATGTACTGGATTCCCTCGTCTTTTTCGAACCAAGACTCGCGCCTACTCCGCCGGGGTTTTCGGGCGAGGTATCCCTTTATCTTGAGGTTGCGAGCAAACGGGTGTGTGCTTCGTTGTTGCGCACGCCGCCGGAAAACCAACACGTGTCGGCGGCAAAGTATGAAACAGACCGACGGCACCAAGTGGTGTGCATACACACATGCCGACTCCACCCCGGCGGCGCTCTCTCGCTCGACGACTCCATGTCGACTGCAGCTATTTTGACCGATTCGTCTCTCGAACGACGTGTGACGCGTGTGGTATTCGATGCATTTTCAAAAGAGGTCAAAATACACGGACGACGAGTTGAAATTCGATCGGTGAACCCGGTGGTGCTCGAATATTCTCCACCCACCCAGGTCGGATCGGACCCAAAAGTTTGGCCTGTTCCTGTCAGGTGGGACGGCAACTAGCGCGGCGATGACGAGCTGCCGAAGCTAACGACCGAGCGGGGGGCACGTCACACGTAGTCACGTACAGTAGGCCATGACCACTTGATTTTTGTAATGGATCCACTTTTGGTGCGGATAAGCTTTCCACGTGCCACTGCACGACGGTGCAATGTCGAGCCCAATTTTTCGCGCTTCAAGTTGGGCTGGCGTGCGCGGCAGGAGGGGCTGTGATTTGGGGAGCTCGACGACGGTTAGAGATAGGCACTCGCCTCTTGGGGCGGGCGGGGGCAAAGCGCGTTGGAACGTTGGGTATGGATGGAGGCGAGATGTCGGGGGCGCGCGGCAAAGGGCGGGGGTGGGAGGACAAGCATTTCCTGGCTGCAACCCAATCTGAACAAATCTCTCGTGTGCCTTGATCCCTCGGGTTGCCAGAACCGTCGACGACAATGCAGCAAGTTGCAGGACTGTTCCTCGTACCCAGTGCCACCATCTACACGGACAAGCCCACGGTGCTCACCCGATCCCACGTCAAGACGAGTGGGCTGCATAACGTCAGGTGGACGACCACGATGGTGTGCAACGCCTCACACTATCCAGTAACATTCCCTCTCTTCACCGCGAACGAGGCGGCTCTGCCCTTGAGAACAATTCATGCAGGGGCCAGCATGGAAAGACGTTGGCTACACCGCATGGGACCCCCGACACCCCTCCCCCTTCAAACGACTCCAGTCTACGAGAATGCGTCCAGTGCGTCTGCTCGAGTCGACGTGGTCTAGCCCCGTGTCCACGAAATCGGACCACGAATGGGCCACAATGGAATGCTCTCCGTTGCCGACAGCCCCTGGCTCGCATCTGCCATGGCGCAATCTTATCGCGACGGACCGTTGACCGCCATTTCGCTCGTCGCCATGGCGGCGGCTATAATTAACGACGTGCCAGCCATAAGTAGCGATCGTCACGTCATTTGCATCTCTCATCACCCACCATGCAGTGTCTGGCCATCGCCATCGCGGCTGTGCTCGTGCCGCTTGTGTCTGGGCAATTCCTACGTCAAGGGAGCAAGCCGATCGAAGTTCAAGTGGGTGCGACGGGTGCCGGCGACATGGCCAACGTCGTGAGGTTTTACAGCCATCGGATCAAGCGCGCATAGGTGGCGCGCGCTACGTTAACACGTTCGCGTTTCGATGTGGTGTGAGATCGGCCGTCGAGGGTCGTCTGCAGTCGCAGGACAACCAACGAGCACTCGTCGGCTCGGCTGCACAATACGGTTGGCAGATGTGCCGACGTCACAACGACCAACAACATCTCGTACCCGTGCAGTGTAGCCATATCCTTTGGGCAGCACAGGAGAGAGAGCAAGGAGGCAGGCGGTTCCAGCCTCCTCCTGGGCAGTCATTGCGCTCCAGCACGGCATGACCAATGCTGCTTGTTGGAGTTGCCGAAAGCCTCTAGCTCGCGCTCCGATCTGCGTCATGCTACATGCACCAGGGGTTATCCAGTCTATTCTTCTTTCACACGGACGCCTCCTAACTCGACGTCGCCTGTGGCACACATTTGCAACATGAGCAGCCCATCGAATGGATGGTGCTGGTGGCAGGGATGCTCGTGGTGGCCGATTTTGTCGTGGTCGAGAACGTCGCCGGACGAGGCGTGGTTGCGGCAAAATCCCCCCGTCCGTGCATGGTATGAACACCCAGGGGACTGGCAGTAGCGCCCGCCGCCATGGCGGACGCAGCGCTGGTTCGAGTGGGCCTGTTTTTGGCAACCCTCGACGGTGCAAAACCGCTTGGGGACTTCGCCGCCATGTTTGAGACAAAATCGTTTTCCGCGGCGATGGGCGGTGCAATCTTCAAACTGGCAAAGGCGGCGGCCGCCGTGACGCACGCACAGATTCCGCGCCACGACTTGATTCGTGCAGTCTGGGAACGAGCAGTTGGTGCGATTCTTGTGGAACGAGCACTTGTCGGAACCGGCCACCGTCGGGTTTACGCACAGGTTGAATTTACACGTGGGCGACGACGCTTCAGGCTGCAGGAGCGATGTTGGCGTCGATGGAAGAATCACCTGTGGGTGCGCCGGTGGCTGGGCCATCGTCATCGCATGCACCAAGTTCGCCATGGACATGAGCGTTCGATCCGGCGGAAAAGACAATCCGTCCGACGGTGCATGTGGCGAAGGCGAAGGGGTCGTTGGCGCTGGCTGGATGGCGACGTTTGACGACGAAGGGGGCACAAGAGGTGGTGGCAAGTGAAGCGACATCATGGTGGCGGGCGGCGGGCGGGGCTTGAGTTCCACTTGAGGGCGGCGGATGTATGGAATCTCGGGTTTTTCTCGAGGCAGGTAATGCGTATTCACCATGAGCAAGGCGGTGGCGTTGGCGCCTTTCAAGGGAAGGATTTGTCGCGTGTCGTTGCCTCGATCTTCGCTATCTTCATCTGACGAGGATGAAAACTGGGACGGATTGTCGCGGGATGGAGCGACGGTGCCGTTGGTGGGGTGGGACCCTGCTGGTGTGGTCAATGGGGACCGATGCATGCGGCAAAATCCCCCCGAGCGCGCGTGAAACGAACAGCCGACCGCCTTGCAATATCGACCACCTCCATGCCGCACGCACTTTTGATTCGAGTGGGCTTGCTTGTTACACCCTTCGACGGAACAAAATCGTTTGGGGACGACGCCGCCGTGAGACAAGCAAAACTTGCGACCTCGCGTGTGCGCGGTGCATCCTTCGAACTGGCACACTTTCTTCCCGCCATGTCGAGCGCACAAACGTTGGGACACAACTTGGTTGTTGCAGTCGGTGAACGAACAGTGCGGTCGATTCTTATGGAACGAGCATTTGTCCGTACCAGGAACCGACGGCTTTTCGCACGAGTTGAACTTACATGTAGATGGAGAGAGCACGAACGGCACGGACTGTGGTGGGGATGAGGTCGTGGGCGAAGGCGGAGGCAAGAGGGACGTCTCGGGCGCGAGCATGAGAAGTGCTGATGCCGTCGCTCCGGCGATCGAGGCCAGCGTTCTGCCCGTTGTTGCAACGACGAACCAAATAACGAACGACAGTTGCCCGAACCAACGAACTACGTTTAAACACGTTAAGCCCATCGTACTTGCGTTTTATGCGGTGGAACCACACAATTCACTGTCATGGCTGCAATTACCTTGCGTTATTTCACCCATGAATACGTTTTAAACAATTGCGCGAAGTGCGTTATATTGTTTCGACTAACGAACGTCGTACATTCGTCGAGACGGGGGAATGATTTGCATAAATATTTGTTGCCGTTGTGTCCATAAATATTACTGTGTGATGGATTTTTCCAAATATTATATAATCTAACAAGCTTGCCACACGAAATGTGGCTCAAGCGAGCAGCACCTGAGCATTTGGTCGGAAACCCAAGAGATGGTTGCATGAGCCATGAACGACAAACGGTTTGATGGACACAGCGCATGGTCATCATGCGATCGCCACCGCAGCGTGAGTTGGGAGTTTACACTGCGTGAGGCGCCACGTGTCAAAAGTCGAGTAACAGGAGTGCCAAGATCTGTTCGACGTGTCTCGATTCCACTTGAGTGCTGTCTTCGATCATGGCTTCTTCCTGGGCACGATGCAGCGCGTCGAGGACAAAGAGACGCATGAGTTCCGCAGTCATTTTGAGGGCATCCGACTGTATCCTGGTGATGCTTCGCACATCCGACAAGATATCGTCAGCGCTGCTGTCGCCGTCATCTTTGCTCTCGTAGATTGCGTCTCTCTCTTGGTGTGCACTCTCCCAAACGTTGTGCACGATGCGCTCGATCAACTTGGGCTTGAATCCTGCCGCCGTCCTGCTGTGTTCATTCCCGGCAGCATCCATTTGGAAATGCGTGTACGGATAGCTCAAGAATATTATCCGTACAAGTTGAACCAAAATAGCGCAATATTCAAGAGTGTCGTGCAGCAGTTCCATGGGATCAAGCACGGCGCTGCTGTTGGAATGCAAGAAGGGGCTCGAGGCATCCCCCTTCGACTACAACCACATCTTAGCAGCAAGTGTTCTAGACGTGTGGCGTGGGCTGACTGCACATGTGGAGCGGCAACTCGCGCAGGAGAAAGGAATCGTCATCCCTGTATTTGGAAAATTTGCGTTCCTCAAAGGAACAGACGCGGCGACACCGATGTTTACCTTCACGGACAAGTTCATGAAGTCGTATCGGGTGACGTCCAAGCGGCCGTTGCCAGCTTTGACATGGCATTGTGGAGATGTCAACTATTCTATCGTGGCTGCGGACGGTGGAATGATGAAGGATCAAGCTCAACACACGGTCGAAGCGATTTTCAAACACGTTGGGGAGGTCGCTCAAGCAGGTGCTGCAGTTCGACACAGCCAACGACTTACTAAGCTTGGTGACTTCTAGGCACTCGGTCCTGTCGATTGAGTTTCGGTGCGGTCGGAAGCATCCTTGTCGAAGGCAAGTGCATCTCATTCCGCTACGATCCAGCTTTTCTCCATGCATTGCAGTGCAAAAACCCAAATAGCACTCCTGTTAAACGTACTCCGTCGCACATCGAAGCCCTCGAAGCATTGGCAGACATTACCCCGTCGCGGCAAGTGAAGCCATCGCGAACACCACATGAGGATATCGTGACGCTTAACAACTACATGACACCGCCATCATCTTCCGAGGCGAAAACCACTGGGACACCAGCGCACGTGACGTTGTCCATGTCAGCTGAGTGTGCTCCCGCCAAGAACACCAAACATCACGAAAGAAAACACACGAAGAAGGCTGCACCGTCGCCACAGCTCATGAAGTGTGCTTCTGACAGCGTTCTGGGTGTCGCCGCGTCGAATCAGCACAGCTCCGGCAACATTTTGCCGCGATTTCTAATCCCTGAAACCAGGACCAACCGCACGCAATCCACGAGTGAGCTCCAGCAACTCATTCTGGACAAGGCGTACGACCGTCACGAAGCGGCGCAAGCGCGCAATCGAGCGCTTGTGGAAGCCATGGATGCCGCATATGCCCAGCGCACCAAGGCCATTGAAATTCGGCATCTAAAAGATCGCGCGACAGTTGCACTGCAGCACCGCGACATGCATGATCACTTGCTGCAGCAGACTCTGGAGAAACAACAGCGAGCAACATTCGACCAGCAGCAACGAGCGGCAGTCGTCACAGAGGCCGTGACTATCCTTCCCCAAGTACGTTGCAAAGGTCCCGTAGTGGCTGCTTGGCTCATGTGAATATAGGCCAGGGTTCGGACAAGGGCGCAAGAAACAGCACACAAAGCAACACTGCGGAAGCAGTTGGACGCAGAAATCCACAAGAAGCGCGAACGGCACAACCATGCGCAGCACGTCCAGCGCGACGAGGAGGTGTACTTCATGCAGTGTGTTCAAAAACAGCATGAAAAGGAGCGCCAAGCCATGGCGCAGCAGAAACAGGCCGACAAGGAAGCCCTCATGCGCGAGTGGAGTCGCCAGAAGAAGAAAACGTAGCACATGCCAAAACGAGTGTTTGGGAATTACAGGTCGTCGTCGTCGTTTCCAAGCACTGCGGGGACAGGGGCTGGGACCTGAAACGAAGAAGGTGCCACTCGAAACATGGACTGCCCTGGCACTTGAAATGTTGCTGGGCGCATGGTGAAAGGATTGACGACTTGCGCAGGTTCATCTGCGTCGTCGTGAACATCCAGAACTGCGAAAACGTTCTTGGGTCGAGTTACGACGGGCTGGACACGAGGACCTGATGGTTCAACTGGAGCGTCCTTCGCCTACGCGTGTGTAAGTGTTAATGGAGTCGAGTGCGCGGTACCAGCAAGGGCTCGATGTAGGTTTGGAATCCAGACGGCTGCCGCGACGATCCAGTTGACGAAGGGAGTGTAAAGGTTGGCGGTGCAAGGACGAAGGATGGCATAGGTTTGGGCTGGGGTGGGTTTTTCAGTGACCGCATCCGCTCTTCAAACGAGCGCTGTTCCTGCAGTCTCTGTTGACGGACAGCTTCTTGCTCCTTGGTCAGTTGCTTCTTGGCTCCGCTCCCAGAGGGCTGCTGCTTTTTCGGTTGGTGCTGGGGTTGTCTAAAATGGTGAGGTGTTAAAAGCATCGCCCGTGGTGCGCGAAGAGAACTTGTGCTGTTTGCTCAGGGACGCGAACGGCTGGCCTTTCTTCGCCGCGGGTTTCGCGTGCACCTTCTTCTTGGCCACAGGCTTGGTATCTACCGTGGTCGCAGAGGTCACACTCCACTACAGCACGCATGAAGCACGACATACTCTGTTTGCCCTTGTGCTTGGAGCCACCGCCGGCTGCCATCGTCGTTCGGTTCGGTTGATTGGTTTCGGTGATTGGTGCAATTTACCGGATAACGTGGTATCCGTATAGAATCGTGATCGTCATCGCAAAGTTCACTTCATTCGAAGCGCCGTCGCCGCCAGACGTCCGGGTGGAGCGACAATGGTGGAGTGCTGCGTGCGAGACATGACTGCTCGTGAGAAATAGCTGCTAGATGCAGTGTGAATATATTTGTGTTACTCGACGCATGGTCCATGAATTGGAGGTCGCCCTAGACGAGCTCTCGGTAGTCTTGGTCAGCTTTCGCTTCGCCTTCCTTGATTTCACCGCGGAGTCTGTAAAACCACGACATAATGACGCCCTAAGTGAATCGCCGGGTGGTTAGGACATTCGGTCTGCTTTCCCATGGGAAAGAGCTGGTACCGTGTAGCCGAGGAGAGCCAATTCGACCACCAGGACAAAGATGAGGAGGCCAGGTGGCGTGAGACTGTCCTGTTTGATAATGACGAGTGCATGCTTCACAGAGAGCTCGGCGGCGATGATGCCAAACGCCACACCATGCAAAATGAAGCTCACAATGCTGCCATAGAACGCCTACAGCGACTCCACGTCGTCAGCGCCCATGTCGACGACTGCATTCAACGTACCAAATCAAACGTGAGGCCCATCGGTACGAGACCTTCGTTGCGGATGGAATAGTACCCGAGCGCCGTGACGAGAAGTGCAATGATGCTGTCCCACCAGACACGGTACCAAGTCGCGACAAAACTGATGGCAAACAGCGCAATCCCCCCGAGGAGTAGATTAGTCAGCGGCTTGCGCGTTGGGAACTCGGCGAGTCCGCCCTGGTGCTGCATTTCGGCAATCGCGCGATTCATCGTGGGCGATATTTGGAGTGGGTTCCAGTGTGGGGCTATTGCGACGGTTGCGACGAGGTGGTGGCGAAACCGCCCGTCAAGCGTCGTAGCGGTTTCACTTTTTCCACCCGCAAGTTTTGGAGCGTCGCAGCTTTTGTGCAGGAATGAGCGGCAACGTTGCGGCGAACGCTGTGGAGCAATGCAATGGATGCCAACTAGCCATCGACAAAGGAATCGGAGGACGCCACGTGAATGTGACCTGCGTGCGACCATTGACAGAATGCAACGCGGGATGTACATAGCGTGGCTGTCAGTGTTCTTCCAGCGGCCGTGGAATTGCCGAAGATCGTGCACTCGTCATACCAAGACATCGCATTTCCTCGAACGGCATGGAATCGTATATGGCCAACATTGGCTTAGGTTGTAGAGCCAATGTCGTCGATACGTGTACACCGCATTCACGCTGTTACGTTATCTCAGGTTCCATTGTTTGCCGGCCAAACAAGAGCAATGGCAGCCCGACGGCATCGTGTGATGGAGGATGGCGTGACTGTAGATCAAGGGTGTCCTTGATCGGATCCATTCCACCCAATGCAGCCATCACAATGTTTCAGCGTACACCAGCTGAGGAAGGCGTGTGGCCATTGCTCGATTCTACTGCTAGAGTTTGAGCTAGGCGGGTTGCATCGATATCGTGGCTTCGTCTGTGGCCCGTGTTGTGGAGGCCCGAGCGCCAAGCACCTGTGGTGGTGTGAGCGGCCCGCTCTCCACTTGAACTTGGGCAATGGTCAACTCCTGGGTGTGCCAAATGAGATTCAAGTTTGACAAGCAGCTTCATAATAAAAATACTTTACAAAACCCCTAGTATTTTTGAATTTTTGTTTTCTATTATGTGATGCAGTTCCATTGCAGTGAATAACAGGAGCAGTGGAAGGAAGCTGAACGCGCGCCATGAACCATGCAGGGGGCACAATGAACAGCGGAGCTGACAACGAGCCGATATGGGACGAAGACTTGACCGAATTGCTCAACTCTCCTGAGCAAGGGACTTCTCAATGGCACGTGGCATCTACGACGACCGGCGTGCCTGGCCCAACGAGATGCGACATTGGCCGACTCTCTAGCTTTGACTTGGCCGAGATACATCACAGTGACGTCGCGTCGACAACACAACTCGACATCAGCTACGAGCGAAAGAAATCCCGAGCCAAGATCACTCGAGTCGAAGTAAACAACGGCTTTGACGATCTGCTCCAGGTCTCCGTCCCGCCCCCAACGCGCCCGCACTCAAACAGACATGCTAGGTTCTCCGTCTTCCCAACAGCCGCAAGAACAGTCGTGCGAAAGTCATCCAGTATGCATGTGAACGTATTCGCGCACTTGAACAAGAAAACGAACGGCTCAAGCAACAACTGCCACTGCCAGGTGCGTTGCCACCTGCCACCGCTGGAGCGATGGTGTGGATTCCATGCACATCCATGCTCCTTCCGCAAATATCCCAACCCCAGCAAACTCGCGTGCTTCAAAAAGCCAAGCGCGCCAAGAAAACCATCAAGTCAGTGGCCGCTGCTCAGTCGGCAACACCATCCACCACTCCGTCCATGCTGCACGCCTTGGTTACGACATGCCCCCATGTGCTGCGATACCTGGATGCTGTGTCCCTCGCTCGCTTGATGCAAGTGTCGTCGGAATGGAATGCATACCTGGGCCACGTCAAGCAGGGGTACTTGTGGGGAGCGCTCGTGACTGCTCGATGGCGCATCGATGGCGCGGCCCTCACCACAGTCGAGCCGGGGCTGACTATGCGCGACAAGGTACGTCGTCGCCCTGTTTCCTGGATCGTGTGCTGCGTCTGTCTTCGTCAAATTGGCGTGTGGGGCATCTCCCTGACTGCGCTCGTTGTTCACAACTCTTGTGGCATGCGCTCTTTTCTTTCCATGAGAATTCCCTTTCTGTTCGCCGAAACTCCAGTTGCTGTGGTTGCTGACCAGCATTGTCTGTGTCAGTGGCTCCAACTGCACCACACCATGACGTTGCCACGACTCGTGTACGCGTTGAACGCATCACAATCGATGCCAGACTGCTCAGAGGTCGGGCCGACCAGTGCGGCAGGGTCGCAGCTGGGCATTGTTGCCAAAGGCCGCGCGCCCGGAGTCGACATGTGGGGCATTTTGGCCCGACGGTCCAATTCGCGCACGACCCGGTAAGATTCTAGCCGCATGTACACTCGCCTGTTCATTTGAGTTGTGTGTAGATCCGTGTGGCGAGACGGAGCAGTGTCAGTGATGCAAGTGGTCGAGGTCCATATCGTTGTCCAGAATACCCACGGCATTGCGCCGATGACAGTGACGTTGGTGGATGTGGCGCCGTTCAAGGTGCTGGATGCGTCGTACGGCACGTTGTTTGAGCCTCGGTGGATTGCACGGAATGGTGTGAAGATCGAGGTGGCAATGCCCGATCTCGTCTTGAAGCACTTGGACGTTGGCGTCTTGAGCGTTTATGTGTCGTGCCCCCACGTCGAATTCGAGCATGAGTTCCTGTCGCGGTGCGGTGCATTCGTTTGCGGCGCTCGGCGGATTGACATGAGGTCGTTGTAGGGCCCATTCCATACGGGTTGTCTGCGCCACACGTGGAGCTTTGTCCGTGCAACGCCTACGAGTGGTGGAAGCGCCTTTCGTACGAGGGGTGCCGCAGCACCCGTTGGTGCGAACGGCAGACAGAATGCACGACAAGTGACCTTAATAACTCTTTTATATCGACAGTACAGCCCGCTGGCACTTGGCTCTTTGCCTTTGAAGAACTCAAGTGTTGTTCGACCCATCGTATATGCCGATGGACGAAACCGAGTGGACCTGTGCGATGGTCAACTGCCCTCGCGGTTTGGTTTTCTGGTAGTCTATGGTGGGCCCGCCACCGCTATATGTTGCCTGGCTTGTGCCTGAAGTAGTGGCCCATGCCGAGGGAGAAGCAGTCGCGCTCGACCATTTGGTGGGGCGGCACGAACTACGTGGTCTCGTCATGCACGATATCGTTCACTGCGATGGAACGTACATGCGTGTCGTCGGAATCTTCGATCGATTTCCGTCGCCAATGCAAGGGGGCCGACGAGAGGATGGGAATGCCGCCGTGGGTGTACGAGGACTGGCGAAACGATGTCGGGATGTGAATCGATTCTGACACAGGCATGCTCTTGTGAGCACTCGAACGAATTGGCACGTGTACACAGACGAACCTGGATGATCCATGCCAAGGGGCACACCATCGTTGCTGTCGTGGTCAAAGTCAAGTTGGTGGTTCCGTCGACGCTGATGTGCTGTGGCGAAGTGAAATCCACTGGACGGAGCGGGCATCGAATGGCTCTGTTGTTTCCATTTGTGCTGCTTCGTCATGACTGTTCTTGACGATGACCTGTTCTCCACTGCCCATGATTCGACGCGCGGGAGGTGTTGTGCTTTCGTTCTCTCGCTCGGGCCAGCCCCCGGTCCACACTTGTTTGGCTTGCTGTGGCGGCTTCGTGCTTCCATCGAGGTCCCCTCGATTCCGTCAGGGTCGTCGCTGTCGTCGTCGTCACTATCACTGTCGCTACCTCCTGCGTTCGATCCAAACAGAATCTCGGACTCGTCCATGTCAAAGTCCGCGCCCTCGGACGCCATGGCGTTCCGCGTTACAATCGTTGATGCTGGTTGAGTTGACCGCAGGTCCTTCCACGCGACCTCATTGGTCCATGCAAGTTGAATTACCGTGGTTCGACTTGAAGCTCACACGGCGACTACATGCATCATATCCTACACTGGATACTACAGGAAACAAGTCGAACGGATGGTCGTCGTGGACGAGACCGGGGCTGGACGCACGTTAACGGCCCATATTTTGATCTTGTTTAAAGTATACCGAAATCCCATCGACATCGTAATCACCATGGAACGTCGCTGGTGGAGCGCCGTTATCACTCACACACCAAGTTTCCACATGCTGGACGTCTGTGGAGCTCATCGCACGCAGGCGGCTGTCACGCGTGAGCACCAAATTACATCTGAAAGCGTGCATCGCGCGACGTCCATTCATTCCTCGACGGTTCAGTACGAATATCACCTTGGGAGGTCGAAAACGAGTGGGGCATTTTCTTCTGGTTGCACGAAATGATAAATAAATTCGATTATTTAAAGAAAGTAGATAGTAATACATGAAGAATTCTGTTTCCCCGCCTTGAAACGGCCGGCTGCAAAGCCAGCGCGAATTCGGGCAGCCAATTCTCCGAGACGCCCGACATGAACGCCGTCCGCGACGTAATCTACGCCTTCAAGGCCAAGTGGTTTGATCAGCATGCGCAGTACGTGCAGCGTCTGCGTTCGTCTTTGCTTACGACGCTAACATATGCGATTCGATGTGTAGGATGCATCGCAACTTCAACGTCCGATACTTCCCCGACGGCAACCACGTCGAGATCCTCGACGTGAAGAGCAACAAATTGTTCTTGAAAAAGACTCAGTGCCCCGCTGGCGTGTCACTCCAGGACTTCTTCTTGGGCGGAAAGCTGCTCCTCTTTGGACGTCACTTCGAACTAACTGAATATTTGGACGCGTTCACAGCCACGCAGCTCAGCAAGCAAGCACAAAAGTCCATTCTCCTCTTCACGCACCTCGGCGCGACAGGGGCTGTACTCACGCAACTGCACCACAACCACTTTACACTGAGCTACCTGAAATTGTTTCTCCGTGGCAATGTCCCGACCATCGTTGTCGAAGTTGTGGGGGAGAGCGCCGTTGAACGACTGCCGTTGCTCGTGTCGTCGCTTCAGTCCCGTTTTGGCGGCAGCGAACCAGGGTTTGAAGTCGCCGCAACCGCTGCCGACGTCCAACGGTGCGATCATGTACCTGCTTCATAGCACGGTAATTTTGTTTTGATTTCAGGTTGCACGACCAATTCGTCGCCAAGGCGTGGTCTTCCCCCGCGACCTTCACCAACTGCACGTGCTGCGTCATTCAACCCCATGTGCTCAAGGAAGGGCAAACCGGGGCAGTAGTCGACGCAATTCTCGACAGCGGGTTGACCATCACGGCCATGGAACTGTTCAATCTCGACCGCACCTCCGCGTCGGAATTCCTCGAGGTACGTGATTGCGGCGTAGCCACGTCTGCTTGCTTCGTTCCTCGCAGCATTTCTCGAGTATTGAAGGATCACCCGTGTCGTTGCGGAGCAATGAAGCCCTTGACGGTTGCTGTAGCTATACGACGGAGTCGTCCCGCATTTCAACGAAGCGGTCGACCACTTGACGAGCGGCTCTTGCATTGCCCTGGAACTCATCGGCGACGGTGACGTGGTACGGCTGTGGTGTTGGTGACGTCGCTTGTTGTCGGCCAGAGTTGCTCCGATATCCCGAAACCTTCACGCGGTTGCTGTGCCTAGGTCCAGCGCTTTCGAGAAGCGGCGGGTCCATGGGATATTGACATGGCCAAAGAACTCAAACCCTCCACGATTCGCGCGCGGTTTGGCGCTGACAGGGTGCACAATGCCGTGCATTGCACCGACTTGTCCGAGGACGGCGCGTTGGAGTCGCAATACTTTTTTGACATTTTAGCCCGCAAGTAGAGGGATGATTTGTCGTAGAATCAAACTCTTGACGTTCTCGGGGGTGGTAAGGAAGGCCAGTGCTTCTGCTGGAGGCGAAAGGTTACGCACCACTCGCCACCGGTATGTGGTACACCGAGTGATCCAGAGCTTGCAAAACATAGCAATTCCCAGCCATGCGTTGCGTCCGCATGGCCGCGACGCCGACGAGTGGACCATTTTCACGATCGTTGGCGCATTCTCGTGGCAGATCTCATGCAATTCATCGAGACACGATGTTTATGAAGCGGGCGTTCTGAACGTGCTCGGATTTGTTATTTGTCTAGGGGAGTTTGGAGGCCGTGGCATCACTGTAATAGAGTTTCTCCAGACGTCCACTTCACGCGCTGGCCAGTCTCCCACACACCATGGCGTTGCTTGGCGTCAACGATCACGACGCCTTCGCCATGCTTGAGGCCTTCCTTCCACATTCCATCGTATATCTGCTCCCCATGTTACGCCACGATCGATGGCAACATCATGGTGCGTCCCTTTGTACCTCTGTTTTCGACGTGGCGCGTCCGCGGCCGTGGCGTAACCCGTGGACCCACATGCCGTCGTAAAAGCTTCCGTCCGCGTGCCGGACGTATCTGTATTTGTCTCATGAGACTTGCGGAAACAAACACGCGGTCGGATGTCGCGCGTACTTGCCAAGTCCACACATTCGGCCTTGTCGCCACTGCCCGTCGTACGAGTTGCCATTTTGCCACGTCATGACTCCCGCGCCGTCCTTGAGGCCGTTTGCAAACGATCCAACATACGTCCCTTGGGCTGTTTTGCGCTCGGTGCCTTGGCCATGCTTGGTGTCGTTCACATACTCGCCTTCATAGCTCCACACAATCCGCTGATCTTTTTCGCGGCACACTTCCTTGCCATGGCCATGGCGAAGGCTTCGGCGCCACTCGCCGTCATACACGATCGTTCCATGGAGATACGTATACACGCCACGACCGTGCCGGAAACCTTTGCTAAACTCGCCGACGTACGAGTCTCCGTTGGCAAACGTTAACGTGCCTACACTGGACAGCCATCAAGCCCACACATCCACCAAACTCACACTATCGCGACAAACAGGTGCTTGCGCACCGTGGCCAGACCGCAGACCGTGCTCTTCCTTGCCGTCGTACACCACATCCGCCGGCCGAGTCGGTGCCGCCACCATGTTGTGGGCGTTGCGAAACTGACGGTTCAATCGGAATTGCGATTGGTTGCATCCGAGGTCAGTCATGGGCGATCGACCCAATTGTCGCCTCGGCGAACTCGGGCGGCATTACGTCCTGCAAACGCACGTCCGCGTCGCCGTGGTCGCTCCTTTCCCTCCCTACGGCCCTACCGAACCATCGTTGTACGCAATCGAAACCGCGCAACCTCCCCATGCCCGAATGCCAGGGCTAACTAAAAGTGTACAGATCCATCGTCCCAAGTGCAGTTGCACCCACGTCAAACGAACCTAGAACTCCCACTGGACGTACCAAGTTGGATCATGGCGCTAGAAAAGGGTTTATTCAAGAGCACATGCACAGGACCGCCGCCACCACACGGCCCACCGCGCCCCTGTTGTCGTCATGAATGCCCTCTTGTTGTTTGTCCCCCACACGTGTGAAGGAATTGGGGGGGGCAATTCTTTTTGTCCAATGAACGAAACGGATGCTGTTGTTTTTTATCCAATCCAATCCGCGGATCCACAACGACCGATTGTGCGGTGGGGTTTCGAGTGTAACCGCCGCGTCGTTGTTCCAACATGAGTCTAGGGTGATAGTTCGAACACAAGCCCACGGTGGCCAGCCCCGTCGTCGACATGGATGTCCATCTGGAAGATGTTCCGCTCATCGTGATCTGGATGTCGACTTGGTACATGCCATGGCTCGTGTACTCGTCCGTATGGCCCCAACGTCGGAACCCGACCCTGTGCCACGCGCCTCCGATGCGCCTTGTCGTTCCGGCCACCGTGAGCCTGTCTGCAGCGTTTTCACGACCACTCTTGTCACTTTTGCATGCGCCGTGCTGGCTGCACCTCATGTGGGTGTTCGGAATGATTGCCACGAGGTATGACGGCTGTACTCGCTCCCTTGTCACGTTGGAATTGACCGAAGCCATTCCTTTGCCAGCGCGTGGGTGCTAGTTTTAGAAGGACGTTATGTCGTGACGGTGCATGCCACGACACTTTTGTATAGCTACACCAAGTGGAACCAACTGCACTTCAAGAAGATGTATCGATGTCGGCGGTGCCTGCATCCATCTGCACAGCGATGCCTCCTGCTTGTATTGCTGGTGATTCTCCTCGCCACTTCATGTTGCATTGGTGCCACGACCGAATCGTTCTTGGCGATGCGCACACTTCTTCTTTCATCGCCGCAGCCGACCGATCGAGTATGACTCCCTCGTTGTGTCGTCCGTCTTCACATGCTTCGTAGGCCGTGACTCTGGCCACGACATGGCCGTGGCTCGCCATGACCATGGTATCCTCAACATTACTCCATCAGTATCACAGCGCGGACTACTTTGAAATGTTTCGAAGGTTCATGGCGCGCGCGTACATTATGCTGGCACTGCTTGCAGTACACGTGGCTGTGGCTCACGCGACACCTTCGACGGACACTGCATGGCAATCCTTGCACGTTAGTGGTATCATCGAGACCCTCGTGGCCGAGACGAGTGCATACTTCCTTCTGCGCGCAACGTCCACATTGATTCGGTACGGCACAAGCAGCCGCCGCGTCCGTGCTGCCTTGACCACAACACTGCCGGCCAAATCGACGCGCCAACTGTCCAAGTCGATGGAAATGTTTGCAGCTTTTCTCGATTCGCCCGACGGATTCGAGGCGTTCCGATCGTACTGCTTCCTCGAGCTTCGACTTGAAGATGTGTTGGCATTCCAGCTCTGCCAAGAGTTTCGACGAGGCCAATCTCATTCGCTGTTTGCAGCGCAGCACGTGTACCAGCAGTGCGTGTCGGCCATGGGTCCACTGACCACTCCCGCAGCGGCAACTTGGCGCCGAGGCCTCCGGTCCAAACTGCACAAAATAACCCCGTTCGAGGTCGGGCCGACGATGTTCGACCCACTGGCTCACGATCTCGTGCACGATATGTACACGCAAGTGTTTCCTCGATTTTGCCGGCATCCATTTGGACGGAGCTGGAAATGGTTTGCCATGCGATCTGGAAGCTCGAAGAAGATCAAGCCCACAAGAGCCGACGACCGGATGAAGGCTCTGTCGACATACCTTGTGCGGCAGTCCATTGATGAGAGCAACGAGTCGACGACATCAGATACCAACGAGTCGTCGATTTGAATCCAGTCGCATCCAACTCGACTGTGCAGCGGCAGGGAGGCCGTCCATCGATACCCCCCACCATATTGGGAGGTGAACGATTCATTCAAACCAAACGCATTCGATCGCGATGGACGCTTTCTCGCTTGCCCGTCAGCGCCGCCAGACAAGGTGCGTAGGCCGTTACATGAAACCGCCAAAGGTCTTCCGACGGTTCGCGATGTAACTGGTCGTTTCGAATGCACGGTCAGCCGCGTTCAAGGAGGACGCGATCGCCACGGGCGAAATCGACGTCGGGGTGGACATGATGGCAGACCAGTTCAGTGAAACCCGTGTCGATGGGAGTGGAGTGGCGGTGTCGTTCGCAGGACCGAGCACACACAAGGTGTCGCCAAGCCAACGCGAAGCTGCTTTGCAGCTCCCACCGCACGTTTGCCGGTGCGTACGAAGCGGTGGAGCGGGGGTTCGATGTCGAATCGAGGAGGTCGCATGCCAGAGGAATACATGTGGAGGAGGCTCATCCGCGCCTCTGTGTATGCGTCAGACGATCCTTGGGCTCCCTGTCAAGCTCGTGGAGAGGTCATGCTCAGTCGGCCTACTGCCCACGCGACGAGTTATCGTTGTTGAAAAGTGATTACGTCGGACGTGTATGGGTCTGGTGTGTCATGTACGAAATCTATTTCTGGTACAGCTTGGCAACGTCTTCGAGCACGTCGCGGCATGGAATCACTGCTCGCAGCTTGATGCACATGAGAAATGCTCCAGCGAGCTTGCGATGGAGCGAGTACACTTCCCGGGGCGGCGGGGTCAGTCGGCCTACTCGATACAACGTTGTCAGCACTTGCACACTGACCCACGTGCCGTACCCGACATGAACATTTCCGTGTGCTTGGCCAGACGGCGGGTCAACTGACTACCATGGAAATCAAACGGTTCGTGGGACGCAAACGGCTCGCCAACGACCATGCCCGCGGCTTCGTGCGCGGCCAACATGTCCTTGGACTCGTCGCCTACATCACGGTCGTTGCGCTCGCCGATTCAACACTCGGGAAGCATCTACCTGTGAGAAAGCCCAGCTTCAACGACGCATCCATCATCGTCTTGCCGTCCAACTGGGCAGCACCCCACACAATGTCAAAGTATGTGTCGACAAACTCCTTGGGATATGCGCGCGCCGCGCCGAAATCGATCAGGCCGATCTTGCCGCTCTGCGGATCGTACAAAAAGTTGCTCCAGTTCGGGTCCGTTTGCATGAATCGCCACACAAACAGCTCGTGGATCGTGAGCTGGAGTAGTTGGCGGGCCACGTGGTTGCGAATCTGCCGTCCGAATGAGCATACCCATGGCGCAGTCGTCGCCGTCAAGCCACCCTACCTCTTGCGACAGCGGGGCTATTTTATCGAGCGGCACGCCTTCGATGAAGCTCGTGGTCAAGATGCGGTTCGTCGACAGGTTCGCATACACCTTGGGCACGACAAAGTGCCGCGACAACTCGTACGAATCCACCAACTCTTTAAAGATTGTTTGGTTCTCTGCTTCCTGGGCGTAGTTGCACTCGGCCGTGAGCTCCTCCTGGCCGACGCTGCAGGACAATAGGGTCAGTCGTCCAGCCAGAACATGCCAAAGTCGTACCGAATGATCTCGTCAATGTAAAGGCCCTTTGGAAACACGTTCATGTACGTGACAAGGCGCTTCAGGTTGAGCAAGTCGCTCGAGATGCTGTCGGCTACGCCAGGGTATTGCACCTTGACTGCGACCACGTCCCCGCTGATCAGGGTTGCTTTGTGGACCTACATACAAAGGGTTTCATGAAGGGAAGGCGGTGGCCAGTGGCGCTTGCCTGCCCGATGGACGCAGCCGCCAGTGGAACGTCGACAAATGACTCGAAGCGATCGCGCCAGTCGGGGCCCCACTCTTGCGTCAACTGAGCAATTAGTTGCGACTTGGGCATGATGTGGGCGCTATGTTGAAACTTCCATGAGGAAAAAGCGAATGGTAGGTGGCACGTTGGCTGGTCTCACTTTTGCCGGACACGGTCGAGGGCGGTGGCAAGCTGCGGCGATATCAAGTTCTCGTCTTGGATGCTCAGCATTTGCCCCAGCTTCAACGCTGCCTACAAAGTCGTCAGGTTTCTTGAGGAACGAATGGAGAGAGAGCTCCGATGGGATGCCGGTGTACCCCTCGCATGGTGCAGAGTGCATCGGCCAACCGTTCAGCGTTAGCATCCGACACAAACGCCTGGTGAATCGATTTCTTGTCGCTACTGCCTTGGTTTTGAATCACTGCAGTTGCGGTGCCCACGGCGAGGCGGGCAGCGAGCGCGCCAAACCCGACGATTCGAGCCAACGGCGACGACGGCACGTGCTTCTCTGTCCATTCCTTGGCTTCCGCAGACGGAAGCAGCGCCTCCAATTGCGTCGGTTGTGGTCGCGGTGGCGTGTACAACTGCACGGGGGCAGGCGTGGGAGGCGCGACAGGTGCGGCAGGAGTGACCTGGTGGGCATTCGCTTTAGTTACAGCTTCCGGCAAGCTTTCAATCGATTCACAAGGTGGCGCAAATGCAAAATCTTTTAAAGAACTCTCGTCCGCGCTGGTAGCATCTGTGGGCAGTTGATTCGCCTCGAAACCTGTTGCCGTTGGTCCCTGTGTTGCCGTCCCTGGTGCGGCCGACGGAATCGTGGTTAACAATTGCGGCGCCAGGGAGATCAATTCGGCGGCGTGGGTTAACGCACGCTTGGACTGCTCCTCGAGAGGCTTGGCATTCTTCGCCACTTGCTCTGCAACAAGGCCCACACCGCGCAGCACGCGGATCCAATCTTGCATGGAAGGAGGCAACTGCTTCGGCGACGTTCGCACCTGATATGGTCAGCCAATCCCACAGAGTGGTCGGATAAACTATTATCCGGAAAACCGTTACTCGACACCACAGAATACGACTCAACGGGAGCGCGCGGTGGCGACTACTGCCGGTGCTCGAGGTCACCGGGACTCAAAGTAGTTGCCGTTCAAAGCGGCGCTGTGCTTATGAACGACTAATGCGGCCGTCTCGGGTGGAGGGACGTGGAGTTTTCCCGTGTTTGCCGCGTCGATAGCAACAAACATGCGACTGACCAATTCGCGCAACCACGGTTTCCGCGGACGATTGTAGTGCGGCGGATCGTTTGCCCGCGCGACTTGGTCATCTTCGTCAAAGTTGTTATCGGTGCGAGTGGCATAGCATTGTACGAGCGTGCGCGCGAGCGTCGTGTTCTGGTGATCGCGATCAAACACGAACCTAGGTCGGTTCACATCAACCAAATGCGCTTCCAGTACAAGATGAAGTCGAACCAGCCGTTCATAAGCAGCCGAATGGACTGAGGGGGCAGAGGGTATTCGTTGTCTTCGACGATATTTCGCAGGACGACCACAACGCGGTCCCGCTTTCGCACTAGCCGAAGCAACACATTCAGATGAAGGGGTACATTGGTCGCAACGCCTTGGTCGAACTGCACGCGGCAGTAGCACGTGTTGTCGTCCAACCGCTCCAAGCTCTGCGTGACATCATTCCTCCACATGAGATCTCTCCAACCGCGAGCATGGATTGCCGAGTACCTGGACCGACCACTCGTCGTGCTTCATCGTGGACGTGAACGTTCCCCAAATGCAGCGGCTGAATGCTTCCAGCGGCATATCAACAAGACGGCACCGCACCAACTCGACGCCGTTGATGTCTGTTGTAAAGTAGCGGACTTGTGGGACATGGCGTTCGCGGCCGACACGGTCTCGAATGTGTCGGAGGGCTGTCTTGATGTCTCCCTCCAGGGCATCTGTGATGCATTGGTAGGCCTCGGCTCGGAATTGCACGTCAACCAGCGAGTGGGTGGGTGGCAACTGAGCAAACGCACACTTGGTCGGCGACGTGATTGCGTCCGAGAAAGATCGTACCGGGTCGCGCTGGCCTCTCGACGACGCGGACAGAGATTTCGCCTTGTGGTGAAGGAACGGTGGCGCGTGATGGAGTCCCGGCGGCAGTGGGCTCGAGTTGACGTCGTCGTCGTCCGTAGCATTCGTGGTACTCGAGTCTCGGCTCTTCCGACGGCCAACCTTGTTGCCCTTGACATGGATCAGCTTGACGGATTTCTTGGCTGTCGCCCAGTGCGACTGCGGTGTCGACGCGATGCTCGCGCCGTGGCCCATGTCGGCACACAATCCACCATCAGTGTACGGCGGTTACGCAAGACCGTTTCGAAACCGGTCGCCACTTGTGAGTGGTTTCAAATGTAGTGATGCAGGTGCGGCACATTTTTGTCGATGGCTCTTGCGGATGGAGGGTAGGCTTAATGGCACCCTTGTCTAAAAGCCATGCCCTGCCAAGTGCTGCGTGCGAATAGCGCAGCACTTGCTCGATTTTCACATGTAGAATGCTTGCCGACTCATGGAAACGTCATGGGGGGTGACAGTGGTGGCTGGAATGGTTGAGCAGCAAACGGGGCAATGGAAGGTGTGCAGCTTTCCCAAATGCCCTGGACAAACGGCCCCTATCTCATGTCTTCCGTCGCTACTGTGGTCAGGAATGTCACCAATATGTTGGTATGTTGGTACGGCACTCGCTCGATGGGAGCGTGAAACGGTTGCTGGTGTAGTTATTGTTAGCGCAGCATTTGGGATGGGCTGCTTTGCCTCCAAGTCGAGGCGGGTGGCGATTCCGCCGCCGATAACGCAACTTCCAAGCGAACCCGATCCACGTGCTGAAGAAGACTCGTCGCCAGTTGCAGATCGCAGTCCGTCTACAGCGACCATGAATTCGGCCTGTACACTAATCAAAAGCAACGTGATGTCGGCAATGCCACCTGAGTTAGCCAAGTCCATGTCGTTCGGGGGAATGTCCAGTCGAAGTGGCAGTCGTCACCGTGGCCAGCTCGCAAGCGTGCGAAGCCAATTGTCGATTCAACGAAGCTCCAGTGCTCGCAGTGCAAACTCGAATCGCAGCAATCGAAGCACCCACAGTTTGCGCGACAGTTGTGGCGTCTCGACGGGCTGCGACAGCATCAAGGACCTCAAGTTCGATGCAGTATGGGCATCCCTCGCTGCTAAACATTCCTGGATCATGCATGCACCGTTCCTGTAGATGCTCGAGCCGGACGCAGGGTCGAACCACACGCTCGTGGACAGCGCGTTCCGAGACAAAGGGTACCAATGGATCATCAACCAGGTTGAGCGCAAGACCACTGCCGCCCTCGACGTACACAAAAAGTACTTGGACGACGACGTGCAACATGACGTCAAGCTCTTCCATGGCGGGGACGTCGTCGATGCGGCGCGGAATCGCATCGTGCTGACCAACTTGGACGTGTTTGCCAATTGTTTGTGGGACACTCTGACCGAGTCGGCCGCCACCCCGATGTGGAGAATACAGGTGCGTCGTCGCCCAATTCGGCACGTTCTGGCCCAGATGATTGACTTGCGTTGAGTTCCCGCAGAGACTGGAAGAGGTCGACGCGGCCACGTGCTACACACAAGTGTCTGTGGTCGACGGCATCAGCCCTGGTCACCCCCTTGTCATGAATGTGCTCCTAAGGCTAGTGCGCGTTTCGGTGGATCGCCAAGTAATTGTCCTGCGCAGCATCGCTGAAGACGCCAAGTTCCCGCTCCCGCATCAGTCGATTGCGTTCAGTGTCAGTGGATGGTACAATAAAATCGACGCGGGGGCAGACGCGCATTGAGTGAGGTGCTGGCTGTCGTAGGATCGTGCTGGATCGCACGTTGACCCCAACGAAGAGGCGGCTCGGGTTTGAACAACGTCCAAGGCAATCCACCCACGCACGTAGTTTGTTTCGATGCCGCGCTTCCAGGGATCGCGCCGAGACACAAGCGCCCGACAAAGGTTTTGCCCCCATGCACGACGACGACCCCGATCAAGCCGCGGCCATTTTGGGCGACTGGCTCATGGATGCGATCGTACGCATCTTTCGCGCGATAGAGTCGAGTATGCTCCAGCGGCCCCCCGCCACCGATATAAAGCCAGCTAAACGATGACACGCCACTCTGCTGTCGTATTTGGGATGCCAATGGATCATGGCAAGACGGGACCTCCCGCATTCGAGTGCGCAGAATGCCTCGTGGCTCGATACGATGCATGCATCCATCCAACGCAATGGACACAACCTTGATGGAGCGGTCGTGGCGCTGGCCAACAACTCTTTCATTGATCGCTCGATGTCCATCACGCCCAAAAACGTTTTCTTTGATTGAAAACGCAGAATGTTGGTCGTCGACGCATCCCGAATGGCAGGGTTGTGGGCCGATTCGTGTAATGGAGCCGCCGCCATTCGCCCCCGCAACTCGGGCGGTGCTGCTGGGCTTTCTCGCCGCAGTACCGCTAGTGATGGTAAGCTACACCCGATTGTTGTGCTACTCCCATGACACGGCCGTAGTTGCTGGTGGCTCCGTGGACAGAGCTGCTTCCTTTGGGTGTGTTGTACACTCCTCCAGGCCTCGTTGCCGTCGCTGTGCTGCGCTACACTCACTCCAAGAACAAAACGAGCTGTACCAATCGTGTCGACATCGATGCACTCGTCCACTTGTTCCTCGCTGGTTGCTCGATTGGCGTGATCGTGGCCATGCTGATCGAAATGGTCTTAACTTTGGTGGCCCAGGGGTGTTTCCTAGTCGTGGACAACCGCGATGTCCTCGGGCAAATCGAGCGGTATCGTGCTGAGCACCCTGGGAACGGCACCTCTGCAGGAGATATTCTTGCGCACATCCGCGTCCGGCACTCGTTCAGCATCCTCCTCACGCTCTCTTTCATGGCGTTCATCGTAGCTGGTACCGTGGAAGAGTCTGTCAAGGCGTGGCTTGTGCTGCGTCGACCTTGCCGACCGTGCTGCTCGACGTACTGCGATCATCTCAGCCGCACGTCCGACGTGCCGATGGAGCCGTCGCTACAATCCCGTGATTCAGTCGTCCAGACGTCGCCACGTCAAGTGGTCCTGGGTTTCATCGTTGTCGGGTGTGGGTTTTCTACGATGGAAAACGCCTTGTACGCTTTCCTTGCCCCGTCACTCGCCATGCAACTCTGGACAGCCGCGATCCGAAGCGCTTTGGCCACCCCGCTGCACATGATCTGTGCCTCCCTCACGGGCATGCATCTCGTGCTGCAGCTTCGACAAAACCCACCGACCACACGCAGTCGGTGGGACGTCCTTCGCGCCATTGCCCCGGCCATGCTCCTTCACGGCGTCTACGATCTCCAAGCGTTTCTCTTTACATTTTGGCTCGAAGTTGACGATGGCAGTGTGATGTCACTCAGTGCATCGGTGCTGTGCCTTGTCGTCGGTGGCCTGTACTTGAACTACCTGCGAGGTCGCATTCAATGGGATGACGTGTACCATGCTGTCCCCAGTGTCGAGGACGCGGCGGACTTTCGTGCCTCGGCTACAACGCTCGTGTAGCTCTCAACGTCGTGTGCGTGAGTTGTGGGTAGGTAGATTAATATCTTAACGAGTCTGGAGCGGTATCTCGACTGGGAAAGATGAAGACGCTCATGTAGTTGCTGCTTTGGGTGGCCCGCCGCGGCCGCGACCTCGGCCTCGTCCGCCGCCTTTGCCCTTCCGCTGCTTCTTGTCTTGGTCGGGTTTCTTCAATGCTTGGACTTTTTTAAACAGCGGCGATTTCTGCAGCAGGTCGGGCAAGATGAACAATTTCACTTGGCTCCCGCGGATATACACTTGCTCCAAGCGGCTGATCTGGCCGTCCCGACCCGTCAATGTGACCTGTTTGAGCTGGCAATTCATGCTGTCTTCGCTCTCGACCAAGTGGCCTCTGTAAATCTCGCCGTTCTTCAGCTCCAACGTGATCGCATGCCCCTCACCTTCGTGCAGCAAGCTCAGCGGCACTCCCAGGGACTTGGACATGTCTTGTTGCTGCTGTGTGGTGAGCAAAATGCGCTTTTAGTACCTCCGAAACCAAATACTTTCGGCAATTTATATTTCTCCCCTGCACCACGCATATCCACTTCGAAAAATCCGAATACAGATTCATATCCGGAAGCTGTCGCACTTCAACATGACATTTGAACCGGGTGAGAAAAAACTTTCCAACCTGCTGAGAATTACATCGGGGCGACATGCGTGGAGACAGATCGCTCGGACGCAGACTCGGCATACCAGCCTAAACGGCGGGAACAAGGCCATCAGTGTCCCTCAACTCTTCTATTGACAACCGTGACCCTGTGGATCGCTACATGCACTGCAAGTCGTCTGGATCCCCCAAGGATGATGCACCAGGCACGCAATGACGCCAATGAAAAAATTCGTGGTCCAGAGAGAGGGCTGGCGGCAAGGATATGATCGACAGAATGAAGCACCAAACGCCCAACAACATGTCTGCCACACCGAGCACGTCATGGAAGCCCCTTTTGATATAGATGTTGACGACGGAAGCCTCGAATGGATGGACGACCGTTTCAATGCACGACGCGAATCAAAAGTTGCTATCCCGAATGGCTTTTTTGTTGTGATCGCGCAGCCTACTCTGTCGCCTTGGCCTTCTTGGCAGCTCGTGCCTCGCTCTCTTGTTCGTTCGGGGCCATGCCAAACACTTCGTTCAACTGCTGGCTCACACGAATAAAAGTCGTTCGCTACATCGCCACAAGGCCGTAAGGCTAGAATTGCGCTGACTCGGCCGAAGTCTCCAATGCCTCACCTTGCTCAGTTCCTTCAGCATGCTCGCGCCGACATACGTGCAAGTGGACCGCACGCCGCCCAAAATGTCCTTGATCGTGTTGTCCACAGGGCCTCGGTACGGCACCGTCACGCTCTTGCCTTCGCTCGATCGGTACTCGGCCACGCCGCCGGCATGCTTCTTCATCGCGGTCGCAGAGCTCATGCCGTAGAATCTCTTGAAAATCCGCCCATCGCTCGTCTCAATCACGTCGCCACCGCTTTCATCGTGGCCCGCGAGCATGCCCCCCAACATGACAAAATCCGCACTACGCGACCAACCACAACCACGTTGAGCTCTTGTATGCCCTTTCATTCACGACGAGGCAATGATAAAACTCCACAAGGTCAAGAGCCTTACCCAGCTCCAAATGCCTTCGCAACATCACCAGGGCAAGTACATCCGCCATCAGAAATGACGTGGCCGCGGAGTCCATGCGCGGCGTCGGCACACTCGAGCACAGCCGACAGCTGCGGATACCCCACGCCGGTCTGCTTGCGAGTGGTGCAGACTGAGCCTGGACCAATACCAATCTTGATGATGTCGGCGCCGCTGAGGACAAGTTCCTCGACCATTTCGCCCGTCACAACATTGCCAGCGATGATGGTATGCGTTGGATGATTGGCGCGAACAGAGCGCACGGCATCCACAAAGTGCTCGGAGTATCCGTTGGCTACGTCCAAGCACACAAATGCAATTGCATCATGCGCGTGCAAGACAGCCGAGACACGTTCCAAATCCGCCGCACTCGTGCCAGCGCTCACCGCCACGAAAGGGAGCACACTCGGATAGGTCTTTGCAAAGGCATGCCACTACAATCTCGTGAGTATGGATCCAGGGATATGAGAGCGCCATGTCGATTGGAGCTCTACCTCGTCCACGGTGTAATGTTTGTGGATGCACGTGATGCATTGATTCGCCGCGAGCACTCTTGCCATTTCAAACGTTCCGACTGTATCCATGTTGGCAGCAATCACGGGCTACGGCTGCACGTCAGTCGTGGAATGGCGCGGATGGACGTACCACACCAGTCCAAGTCCGCTTCGAGTTGCGAAAGGTGTACGTGCGGGAAACGTCGACTTGAGATCTGCTCTTGAGGGTGCTTCGCTTCGGCCGAATGAGCACATCCTTGAAGTCCAGCTTGGGTTCTGTCTCGATGCGCGGCATCAGTCCTTGTCTTGGCGAGGCAATATCGAGAAGTGAACAGGGCGTGGCGAGGTCGTGAAAGATCACCAAAGGAGGAGAAACCTGTCAAATTAAATTTCCAAGCCAAGCAACATTCAAGTACCTGTTAAAATACATAAAATGTAGCTTTCCCATAAAACGAATCCAACCCAATATATACTTCAAGTAATTATGCCTTCAACGTACCATAAGGATTTCAAGATTAAAGCAGCACTAGAAAATGTAAAAGTAAACCATCACATATATCGAATCGCCAAGATGCGGTTGTGACATTCGCACACAACCAGGACCGGTCGCTCGGCACTGCGGGCATGAAGAACGATTGCCGACGAAAGGGTCGGTGTACACGTGCAGCGAAGCGTGCTTCCTCTGTTCGTTCCTTTCAGATCGATGAAGGCGCGGCATATGGGAAACGCGGGCGCCCAGAGGATGCAGGTGAGCGTCGTCAAGAGTTCAACCTGTTTGTCTTGGTGTATGTGATGGAGTACATGCGTTCTGCTGGGAGCGATTCAGATCGCGCTTACGATGCGATCGATCATGCTCGAGGGGTTTGAAAGGCACATCATATAATGTCGAGTGCTGCTCTGTCAACGAAGACTAGCGCCTGCCTGGTTAATGGTCGTGGCCTTGACTCTTCAGGTCGTTCATGTTGGTCCCTTGAATCGCTTCGCCTGGGTCACAGACGGCGCTGTTAGGACGTCGAAGCATGGAAGGGACTCATACCAAAGAGCTTGAGGCTCGACAGCGACGAGATCTCACCACCGTGGTTCTCTTCGACGAACACCTACATGGAGAATGAGCCCCATTCGTACACTCCTTGCCGAGGCCAAACATGATGACGTGGCGATTGTACCGTCAAAGAGGTCACTCGTTGAAACTTGACAAACCGCAGCTCGACCGGTGTCCCGGTCTGCAACTGTTCCTGTGTCCACTCCAATTGTTGCGTTGGCTCGATGTCGGTCACGTCCGAGAAACCCTGCGCAAAGCCATCATCATGTTTCCAACGTGTCGTGGCGTACCAAGTTGTTGCGATTCACGAACAGCTTGACAACCGACGGCGCCGTATCTACATCGCGCATCATCACGTGAACCAAGGCAAGGGCTGGACATACCATCTTTCGGGGCTTTGAGGGAAATCGAATGAATCTTGACTGCTTCTTTGAATTCCAGGTGGATCAAGAGTTGCTCTAGGACAAAGAGCTCCGGTCACGCCAGCCATACTGGCGCCACTTGTCAAGACGCCGTACCGTCCGCTTCGCTCTTCAAGACGAGGGACTCATCCCCAATGAACAAGTTCCCGTGTCCAAAGCTCGGGTCTTCATTCAAGCAGTAGCAATTGGACTTGTTGTAGTGCTCCGACAGGTCCTCGAACTTGCGGCCGGCCATCGAATCTGTGATGAATGTGCGATGCCAAGTGATCTTCAAAGTATTATATTTCGGAGGAACGGGTTCTCTATCATTTTATCGTGTTCTTTCCCGAGTGAAACCGACAAAAAATCGGCACTTTTTGCGTCGGCGTCATGCGCTTCGAACCGACGACCTTCGACCTGGACGATGAGGAAGACGGCGAGCCTTCTCTGGTGGATGAGACAAAGCCATGGCTTGTGGGTGTACGTCTAGAGAAGCCAAGCCGTGACGACCACGTAGTGCAATGCGCGGGAATAGTCCAAGATGGCTCGCGGTGTACGCGAACGTATGTGCAAAAGAGGTCGGCAGCACTGACTGTGTCGTATTGCTTCAAGCACAGATACCAACAACGTACGTCTACGCATGGATACGCTCCACTTGCGCAGACAGACATCCAAGTCCAGAAAGGCTCAGCTACCTCTCGTTCGTCACGCCGCTGCGAATGCTTGCACTGGACATACCAATCCATGTGCGCCATGTTCTGCTTGTTCCTTGCCATAGGCTTGCTCTTCGCGAGCCTCGTCATGGAGATTCCACACTTTGGCCTTGCAAGCGCCTTCTTCTTTTGCGTTCCCATGGTGCTCCTGGCCAACTGCATGATTCGAATGATGTTAGTCGCGTGGCTGCCCGCACCGCGCACCATGCAGCGCCTCCGCGCTATCCAAACGGCCTAGTCTGCCGCGAGTACCAAACGTTGTCGTATTTAAACTTGAACAGCGTTATGCATTCGCTGTCATATCAAACGAGCAAATTTGTATCCAACCGCTGATGCAGCACACAGCGAGCAGGGCAATCAAGGCGACCAGGCAGCGATGTTATATGCCATTGCCGCCTTTTGAAGGCGGAATCGACTCGTGGTCGACCTTTTCATGCCTGGTTGGCTGGAGTGTGGCAATGCCGAGATCACGCTACCACAGGGCTGAGGTTGGGATCATCGCGCAAACGAGCAGTCGTAAGCCTTATGACGATCAGCGGAGTGACGCAGTTGCTCGATGTGGTGCCTCGAGCTTCATTCGGTTCCTGTCTTGAGGGAAAAATACACTAATTTCCCCCACCGATTCCTTCAGGCAAGGCTAAATTTAGCGCCGACAATCGTCGAGTCGTTTCGCGAGAGCCGCGCGGCACGGAGGCTCACGGCAATCGGGCATGGCAGAGTTCTATGCGTGCTGGGTCAACCGACTCAAGACGCTGGACCTTCTGGAAGCCTCCCTCGAGTACTCCCACTGCATTGTTTGGGGCGAAGGTGACGTTGCAACTGTGTAGGGCCTGCGCTGCCAACGCGTCCAAAGAGCTCCACGCTGCCATTTGCATCCAGCGGATATACAGAGGCCAGCGCGTGCGGTCAAACATTTCGCGATGCCGGTACGACAACAGCAGTGCCGTTTCTGCACACGAGCTCCATCGTCAATTCCCACTTCGTTGTAGGGACGCCGAAATCGTAGTCGCTCGTGTTTTCCGTGGCCATTTAGGTCGGCACAAGGCCCTGCGGGAGCGCCAGCGCCAACTGACTCTGGAAGCCCAAGCCCGAATGCACCACGTTGCACGGGTCATCCAGACGCGATACCGTGGATGGTCCAGTCGAAAGTTCAAGCTGAATTTTGCCACACGAAAGTTGTACCTGAAGGAACTTGAAGCAAAAGGCCAGGCCTTGCGCGAGACGTTGCGGCAGCGTTTGGATGCCCAGAGAAAGGTGCGCCTGCAAAGCAGCATCGGTGTCTGCATCATGGCACTGATCGAAATGGCCGACAGGCGGAGGCTGCTCGGGTGGACGCCGAATCGCGCGAAGAATTGGCTCACATCACACAAAACTTGCATCACTTAGTTGGCACGACCGTGACTCCTGGCATCTTTAGTTCGCCGTTCCTGCAGTCCAAGGTTTGGCACTTGAACGCATCATCACAAAGTTGAAATGGTTGTAGCCTACCGCGTTTGGAGTCCCGGTCGAAACCCACATCCGCACCAACACACTCAACTACCTCGCGACCGTGCCCAAGAAGCTCGTGCCCAAAGCACAACTCAAACCGAAGCCACCAACAGTTCGAACGTCGTTGCAAGCCACGTCGGTGTACCAAGCGGACAAGCTGCACAACGATCGTGAAAAGCGATATCAAAAAGCCAGCCAGATCACAGAAAACAACTTTGTCACGGTACGACGGAGCTTGGTCGTCCGTGGCATGACGTCGCTGGCAGGTTGTCAACCCAGCGTCGTCGTACACTTACGACAAGAGCGTGAACAACGGGATCGAATACTTGGATCCGCGGAAACACCCGTTCTGCCAACGAAGTGCGAACAAGTCCCCCGTCAAGTCGAGAGAGAGCATTGTCCTGCCGCCTGCGACAAGACCATCGGCCCAAGGCCACCCGCACGTGAAGAAAAAGACATCGCACAACAAGAGGACTGTCGTAGGATAGAGTATAAACCAGCCGCCGTCGTCGTCACCTGTCCAGTGTTCATGCATCGGCAAGGTTGGTGCTGCGGTTGCGTGTGGCGTGGGTGGTGTGGACTCGCCAGTTGCAATTTTAAACATTTCGTTCAAACGGATACAAAACACAAAGATGAATAGAAAAACGGATTAAAATTACGGCCACCACACACGACGAAAATTCAAACATCTCCCGGTCACGTGGCGGCAGAAGATGGCGACGCCGCCGTCGACATTCACCTGGCCCGTCGACTCTGACGGTCATGACACCAATCCACAGAAGCCACATGGCATGGAAGACGAAGCAGACGACTTGTCGGACTCGGAGGAATCTCCATTCAATGCCATGACGTTTCACGAAGGCGAGAGTGACAGCGACTACACATTATCCGATGCGTCGGACGCAGACAACAGCGACGACGACGACGTTGACGCTGAAGAAGATGCATCCCTTGTGCCTGATGAAGAAATCGACTTGCGTTTGTGGTCCAATGCAAAGGAGAAACAGCAATGGACGCTGCAGTACGAACGCACGAACGCAGAGTGGCAGCGCAAGTATGGCTGCCGCATCGACTCGGAAGCGCGGCCAGAAGTCAGCGCCAAGCTCCACCGCGAAAGAAGGTGGCGGCGAGTGCAACAAATCTTTGTCGTCCTGGCCGTTGTTGCGTATATCGGCCAATGGTGGGCGATTTGGAACAACTACGACGTGGACCGCATGACCGCGCCATTCCGTGTCGAGTGGTGGCGTGGTAAGTCGGCAATTCCAGTTGTACCAAATCATGCAACCGACCACGAACATCCCAACGCCGGCAAGTCACAGCTTGCCGACAACGACACTGCATACGAGGAGGACAGCGCCGATGCTTCCACCATACCCAGAGCACCCCAAGAAAGGTCAGACGATGGGCATGAGGGCGCAGAGAAGGCGACAGAGCCACCGGAAGCGAACCTTGCAGAAGTCGACTCGGCGACCGTCCTTCAACCTGAGCACATGCACAAATCCGACGACAACGTTGCCGGTCTCTATCCCACGATTGTGCATCCTGGCAGCGAGCCCAAAAACGATGCCGTTCTTGCCGCGCTATCGAATGAGGGCGACGAAACAGTCGCAGCGGAGCGAAAGAGCTCCTCTGATGTGGAGGGCGAGCTCGCTGTCCCTGAACAGGAGGACGAAGGCGATCGAAGCGGACGTTTGGAGATTATTGCAACGACCGACGACAGCGCGGCGGACGGGCATTATGGACAGCAAGGTCGGATGGAGGATGTGGTAGCTGCGCGAGACATGGTTGGCAGCGAAGCAGTTGAAGGCACTACATCCACCGAGATGGAGTCGACGGCTATTGTCGACACATCCGACCATCCCGCAGTTGTTGCCGAAAACAACTTACCTAACTCCGCGGACGAAGAAGTTGAGCACGACCAAGAACCCATTGAATGGCAGACAGACATCTCGGGGGCGGAGATGGACGAAGGGCTTGCGACGCTTGCCTCGGGCAATACCACGGCCCGCGAATTGGAACCCCCTGCTTTCACAGGACCTATCGAAGTCTCCATTGAGACGTCGGGTGTATACTCTGAACAATTCGGCGAACTGGACAGCTTCGCGATGACAGACCGAGGCGGCGGCGAGAGATCTGCGAACGAAGACGCCACCACAGTGGGCGAGGTGTACGTCGAAGAAAGTATCGAGCTTCTGAGCGTGGAAGATGAAGGACATGGCACGTCGTTGGCCTCTGACGCTAACTCCGAGTTCGACGCTGCTATGGCTGAAGAAGCCTTGGCCGAATGCGCAAGTCAAACAAAGGCGCTGGTTCGGGACAAATTTCCCACTGGGCACACTGCATCGGCGAAAATTGCCTGCGACCATGCAGTTGACGTGACAATCGCCGGGTCGTCATGGCATGTTGTAGCGTTGGTAGCCCGCGGCGACCTCAAGAGCTTCATGCGAGATTTTGGAGGTGCCATCGACGACTACAATGCCGCCATGGTGTCCGAGCACTATGGACGCAAAGACGTGATCCAACTGAAGTGGCAGTCAGTGCAGTGGATGCAGTGGTACTTCAAGGGGGCCGTGGACGAGCTGACTGCCGACTGCGAACGCGTCATGGCAAGGGAGGAATCGTTGTCTACGCTACAGCATGTGGCTCGGCAGTGGCTCGATGTGGTGCAGCTGCAAACGCCAGTCGACGCGGACAAGCTCAAGCGCCTCCTGTTCGACCTGTTTGTCGACTCGCGCAAGCTCACCATGACGGCAGTGCACTAGATGTTGCCGCATGCGCTGTTTAAAAACGACCCCTCGTGGACTCGTATTGCATGCAGCGAGGAAAGCCGTCGACCGCCTTGTGCTGCGCGAATATTGGAGAGCTCCCGCGTCTAGAGCTGGGAATGCATGCAGCCATTCCAATGCTGTGGCATAGTGAGCCGACTAGCACTCGACCAGGGGAGAGCTGGGATGTGTGTTCAATTTGTCTAGCACAGGATCAACTGCATGCACAAAGCCCGTGTCAGCAATCGCATCTAGGAAAGTCCAGGAGAGAGCTGCCACGTACCATTGGAACGTCGCGACGTTCAGGCTCGTTGGGGTCCGTCGAGATGCGTGCCATGGACCCTCACGACAGTCCTTGTGCTCATGTCACGGTTTTCATTACGATTGCTTTGTCGGGCTCGGCTCTGGCGGGACAAGATCGTCCTGGGTCGGAGCTGTCGGCGGCGGCACCACGACGGGGCCACCAGGGGTGAAAGGGGCGATCTTCTTTCGACTGTGCCCCGAATCTCGCGCCATGTTCATCAGAAACGGCAGGAACGAATCGGACTTTTTTAGCACGACGATGGAAGGACCTCGCGTGGCGCTGTCTCTTCTCTCGGCAACATGCCCATGGCGCAAAATTGCATTCAGGCTTCCCGAGCTGGACTGGCGTCGCTTAGCCATCGATTGCTTCAATATGTTGCCTAGGCCACAAGCATCAGTGTCGTGCGACGGCAAACGACGCGCGACGAACTTTTGGAAATGTGGGCGAAAAACAGGACCCGGTGCTCATCGGACGACAGCGTCTGGGTGTCGCGGATGTAGCCGACGTAGGCGAGTGTCAGGACGACGAAAACGCCGCCCACTACGAACGCAGTGCTGCCATCCATCGGCTGAAACACGAGCAGCGCCACGAGCTGGAGGGCCGACACCGCCATGGCGACGACAGCCCCAAACATCCCCAATGGACTCCGAAACGACCACGACAAGTGCTTGAACTTCGTGCGCACAAACATATAGTTCCACACTTGCGCAATGTTTGCCGAGAACCCAAACACCATGCAAATATTGTACAGACGGATGTTGGGGCAGTAGTGCCCAACGAAGCACAGTCCCAAACCGACACTCGACCCACCGAGCGCTGCCGTCGGAAACGTCTTGTGTGCGGGGTGCTGGTGCGCGAACTGGAGTGGCAGCAACTTGGACGCGGCCATGGACGCGAGCACGTTTGAGTACAAGAAGATGAAGCCATAGATGGTGGCAAATGTTGCGGGAAGGGACAGAACGGTCGCGACATACGGACCTGCGCCAAATGCAGCGACGAAGCCTCCGCGGATCACGATAAGGTCAGCTTGGAGAGAGTCGATGCCGGGGGGCATGCACACCGCAACCAAGTACACGCTGACAGCCGAGGCCACAAGGGTGAACACGCACGCAGTCTGGCCGGCTGGAATGATCCTCTTCGGCTCGTCGACCATGTTGGCGACTGTGTTGAGTGACTCGATCCCGACAAAGAACCATGCCGAGAGCGGAAGGTGCTCCATGAAGGCTCGCATGCCCCCTTTGAAGGAATGCTCTTCGCCGCCTCCGTACAGGTCGTAGCTAGCGTGAGGGAGCGACACGATAACGTACACAAGCACAATGCCGACGGATACCAGGGCTAACAACATGTTGCAGATCCAAAAACGCCGCTGGCTCCGTCGTTGCAAACCATGTACGACTGCGTATATGGTCACCCACGTGAGTGGTCGAACATACCAGAGCACGTCGTCTGGCGCTAGATCGACGAGCTCCAATACCATGTCGCCCAAAACGAGCACGGACGACGCGGTATAGAGGATGTACTGGAGCGCTTCGCAGCATCCGACCATGTACCCGCCAAAAAAGCCTAGCGAACACCGACTTAGACCATACGCGCCGCCCGCGAACGGCAGCCCGCTCACTGTTTCGGCAAGGCACAGGGCGAGGCAGATGTAGCTGGTCGCCGTCACCGCAATCGACACAAACATGCTCCACACGCCCGCTGCCAGGCCGACGTTCCACGAAAAGTACTGCCCGCCAATCACGATCGTAATGCCAAGGGCCCAAATATCAAAACGCGACGCTTTGTACTGCTTTGCGCTGGAAACCTCCACGTCATACGTGGCCATCGGACCAGGCGCGGCGCTGCAGGATCCACCGCCAGGGTAAGCACAGCCGTGGTTGGAAATGCGAAACGGTCGCCGTTTCAACATGTGTAACTGGTAGCAGCGTAATGGAATTTGATTACGAGGCAATCACGAACGCGCGTGTGTGCATGTCGGTGGACCATGGCAGCGGTGGTGAGAACGAGATGGTGGTGCGAAGATGAAGATGGAGAGCACGCTGGACCTCTCCATCTTTGACATCGCATTACCTTTACGACCCGACAAACGAATTCGGGTGAAAAAAGATGAAATTCGTCAGAATTTTCCACTTCGAGGGATTTTTTCAACATGGGATTTGTATAGTATATTGAAATACTTGTTAAAGTGCGGGGGGGAGTATTAGATGGTAGAGGTACCGTGAGATTGAATCAAAAGCAAATCCACGTATTTTGGGGAGGTGTAGGCGCCAAATGAGCTCGTCGAGGTAATGGTGGAAGGAATCGGGGTCGGTCGAGTGAATTCATGTGGGTGTGTATGTGTATGCAGTGAGGAAGATGTTCCGTTATCCCAGCTTCGTGCCGCGCAAGTGTCCAACCAACGGAGAGAAGTCAACGCGAAGCGGGAGGTGCAGGAACCGCCAAACGAAGCCAAACCTGCGACGACGACGCCCGGTCCAAAGCGCGTGATCGACGACAGTGACGACGAAATGCCGCTTCTTTCGATGAAGAAGGTGAAAGTAAAGAAGGAAGTGATGGACATAGACGACAAACCGATCAAGAAGAAGACCTCGTCGTCCTCCGTCAAGCGCGAACCCAAGTCCGAATCACCCGTGAAGCTCGAGAAGCGAACGTTGGCAACATCATCCAACCAGCGAAAGATCAAAAATATTGCGTACAAGCAACAAGAAGCGTCGGAAGCGCTGTACGATTCGTTGAAGGGCCGCTTGGTCCAGGAATTGCTCTGCAGGTACCCTATCGACTGGAGAACACCGACCTAGTGTTGATGTGCTTGAATTAGGTGGTGGTATGCGGTGGATTGGCCTCCAAAGGACACCAAGCTCGAAGAAACACCCGAACTCCAACCTTTGGATGGTTTTCCAGGCTCGTTCATTAGCGTCAAGGTCCGTTTGTCGACCTGTGGTTCGTCGCTCACAAGGAGCTCATCGTAGGGAGACAACATGGGATCGATCGTGGACAAGCGCAACTCGAGCGGCAAGCCGACATTTACCACGTTCTTTGCCATGCCATCCAAAGACGTGCAGGACTTGCTTGTGGTCGCATATGAAAACCAGATCAAGGTACTGATCAAACACGAAGGCGAGGATGCACCGCTGCTCAAGGACCTGAAACAAGCTCTCAAGAGTGCGCAGAACATCAACGCAGACAAGGCCGAGCGGGAAAGCTTCAAGGCGTTGAAGGGCTACGCCGAGTTGGCTGAACGGTTAAAGGAGTTGCGAGAGTGATGGGGCTCGAAGGCATTTCTCGTGATGCGTCGGTTGGAACGATGGCGTTCGCATTGGACTAATGACCAGCGTGAGTCCTTTTCGCCTCGACTATGCTCCAAAAAAATCGTCGTTGTGACGAGCTCCTCCTTTCCATGGCCCATCTCTCTCTCCATTGTCGCCCCTTGCGTACATGGTGCTCCGTGCTCTATCGGCATGCATGCATGTGCGTGCCCTTTACAGCCTCTCACACTCGTGACGATCCTGTACGAATTGCTGTGCCCCACCACACATCTTCGCACAGACATGGCGTTCGTATCGACATGCACCGTCAGGGATGCAATGGTCCGTCGCCGAAGCGGAGCAAGCACATCACGTCGTTGGAAGTGGAGGGGTGCCCGAGACAAAGGCAGGATGGATTCGCTCACGCCTTCGCGGGAGAGAGTCCCGAACGCTTCCAACGCAGGCAATCGTGCATGAATACAAGAAAAAGACACATTTCGTATTGCGTCGGTGACGTTACAGGCCCACGGCGCAACAGAGCAGGACGGATTCAAACGACTGCGGCAGGTTACACCTTGTGGTACGTCACTTCTGTGTCGACGGGCGTGCTCACGACCACGGCGACGGGAATGTCGCTGACAGGTTCTGCGGCTTTGGTCAGATCCACGGGTTCGTGCACCGAGTAGATCGTGATTCCGACGCATTCCAACCCCCACGCGAGCCAGTACAAGCCCGGGACCGTCCCATCAAACACCCACATCATGGTCAGCGCGCTGTACAAGTCGGACGTGAGGAGCGAGATGTTGAAGAGGAGCGACTCGGTGACACGGAGGAACACGGACACGGTCGCGTAAAAGATGAACATCGTGACAACGTAGCCGGCATTCCACCCGACGTTCTCGGCAGACCACTCGACATCCGACACTTTTGAGTACTCGCTGATGATGGCCATTTGAACCAACGACACGATCGTGGCTGTGACGCCCATCTTGCCGAGCACTTCGACGTTGGCGTCCATGCCCACGTTGTTGCGCTTCACCGCGTACTCCTGGAGCAAGTTGGACAGCGCGTACAGCCCCGCGGCCAAGAGCGACTTCAAGTTGCCCTTCATTTGGTTGGGGAATTCGCCGCCTTCGTTGTTGACGCAAAAGATGACAACGATGCCGCCGATGGCAAACACACACCCGACCACGTGAAACCAGTTGTATCGCTTCCCCATGAAGAAATAACTGAGGACGGTCACGACCGGGATCGTCATGTGCAGGATGAGGCCGAGGATCGCGTAGTTGACATCTTCCGAGAACGCCGACACAGCCCAGTAGTTGGCTTCGACGTCGATGAGCCCAAACACGAGCCAGAACCACCACGGCAAGTTTACCGACGCGCACCGGTGCACGTAAAAGTACGGGACGAACACGGCCGCGAGCAGCACGTACAAGAAGGTCGTGCTGAACGTGATCACGAGCGCATCGTTGCGCTGGAGCTTGTTGGTGAAGATGCTCGTGCACACGAGTAAGATCGAGATCACCTGGCCATACGTGAAGTTGACGACCTGGCGGCGCACAGTGTCCGAGACCCCCATCTGCGTTGGACGCGGCGAAATCGAATATGCGCATCGCTCCATCCACTGGCCACCGACCTTCCATGCCAAACCCCGCGAGCGACACATGGCATGGTCATCCGGATATCGCCCTAGCCCCCACATAAAGTTGAATCGGTCCAGCGGCACCGTGCTGGCCTTCGACCGCCAAGTTCACCTAAACATTTCCCCTGGCGCGCAAGGCGGCGGCTGCGGTGGTGGCGACAACGTAATGTAGTCGAGCTTGGTGCGATCTTTGCAAGGGTGGGTGTCCGCAGTAGCATCGCAGGTTCGAAAAAGGTCGAATCGGAAATTGCGATCCGACCGAGATAACCGCGTGGCTGCGCTGGCATCGTGTGGCCAAAGTGCAGGAACATCATGCATTGCAAAGGATGGACAGAGGACGGCGGCTCGCAAACGCGTCGAAGCAGCGTCTCGAGAGGTCGACGGCAGAGACCCGTCGCGAACGTCGGTTCAGAACACAACGTGGTGGTTGCGTGTGCGGACCTTTACGTTGGTGTAACAACACCTCTCGTACCGCAACTTAGCAGTTTAGTTTACATCAAGATTTGGTCCGCTTCATCGTGGGAAATGCCAGCGTTGAGCAGCTCATGCCTCGCTTTCGCTCGTGCGACTTTGAGGGCGAGCTCCGCCTCCTCTGCTTTGGCCACAAGAATGCGGTGGTGCACCTGGGCTTCTCGTTCAAGTCGCGCTTCTTTCCGCCGCTTGAGTTCCAGCCGAGCCCGTTCGATCTCGACCAAATCCTTGTCGCTTTCTTTTCGTTTCTTTGGCAGTTGTGGAGATGGCACACTAGCTGGACCGATGGCTTGGGCTGACGGGGCAAGTTGTTGCTTGGGGACCAATCCTGCGGCGGTGTACCCGTCGGGGTCGAATGTCGAGCTCTCTGGCGTCCGCGTCAGGATTTCACGCTTGGCGCGGTAGACTGTGCGCTGGAGTCGCTTCAAGTTCAGCGATGGCATTGCAGAGATGATCGCGTTCGCTGAGATCTTGGAGTTCGAGTGCACGACGGTTTGAAGCGCTTGCATCTGCGTGAGCTGTCGGCACGTTGGTTTCGCGACCGACATGCAGTCGACGGCATGGTTCAAGTCGCAGGATGAAATGTACCATGGCCGACCCTTGGACTCGTCGACAGGTTTCTTCTGCTGGTACATTTGGACAAAGAACGAGCACGGCGTCCACGAGCAAATGAGCCGCTTGTGGCCCCCGCCACTCTTCGACATGACCTTCACCTGCTTATTGGTCTGGAAGGCATAGTCCTGGACGTAATGCAGCGCTTCCTTCGAACCACCGAACACCATGCCGACCTCGAGCAGCGGTAACTCGTTCATCGGCGGGATGGCACCGTCCGATTGTGTCACGTGGGCGGCCTTTGTCAAACCACGACGATGGGCCAACTGACAACTGGAGCCAAAATAATATCGGAATATATATTACGATGGCGCCGCGTGAACTTTACATAGAATTTAGACACTGGTGACCCTGTCATATAGACAGGACAAGACAAGTTGTGGTAAAATAAAATATTTTAAAATATACGCATTAAAATACTTTTCCATTCGTGCTCATGACATTCCAGTTCGAATGCCGACGCCGCACCTCCTGACCGAGTCGAGCGAGGTCAGCACCTCGTGGCGACAAAGGTCGGCTTATCGTGCAAGCTGTTGTCAAACACAACGAACCCGGGGGGTATCCGCGGCACAGGCGCGTCCTTGACGGTGTACAACGTGTCAAAGTCGATCAGGTAGAGCCCGAGGAGGTTGACCATCCCGACGCCACTCAAGTACGACGCGGTTTTGGACAAGCTAAACATGAGCAGGAGGGTCGTCTTGTCAAGGACGTCAAAATCAAAGAGCGGCTCGAACACCAGGTACGGCGTGTTGAGCACTAGCAGTACTAGCACAAACACGCGGCTGGTTTTCCAACGCCGCGCATGGGTTTGGTTTTGTGTGTGGCGTCGCTCGGTTCGAAGCGAAAACACGGCACCGACTACCACGATGTACAATACTGCCGCCCATCGAATGCTGTAGACGGCCCAGAACGAATACTCCATCAAGTCAAGCGTCGGGGGCGGCTTCCACGGCGTGCGCTGCGGCACTTTCGTTCCATTCTCGGTCCAACGAAGTCCATCCGCAGTTGTGTTTTGTCGTCGCCATCCATCCTTGTACTTGGGCGGGTTCTGCACGTCCACGACGACCAGGGACACGGCATGGGCAACACAAACGGCAAGGACGACGATGTGATACCGAAGCAGGACGAAGCGGGCATGTTGCCGCCGCCTCCACACCCATCGCTGGAACTCGTACGTGGCAAACATGCACCAGAGCGACGTCGCGTTGAAGAAGAGCTCCGACACCATCGTGGCATACATGATCGATTGGCGGCCGATCCACAAGTCCGAGTACGTGTCGACCAAGAGAACGAGCACGAGCTTCGCCATGGACCACAAACCCAGACAGAGAAACATCATGAAGAGCGTGCCGTGGTTGGGACTCTTTCGCACGGTCGCCCACCGAAACACCGTCGCACACGCCGTGAGGGTCATGCTCACGGACAAACAGAGCACCATGCAGTCAGCGAAGAGCATGGCGGGGTGCGTATTCTGGTTCTCGTAGTGCCGCATCCTCGTCAGGGACGAAATCATCGTTTTGTTGGACGTCCACGACGACCCATTCTGCTTCCACTTTTGCCAGTCGACGCGGTCGGCTGTAGCCATGGAGCGTAATTTGAAATTGGCAACAACACCCAGGGCAGAGATAGCTCGGCCAGCGCGTGCTGATGGATGCTGCGATGGGCGACAGTGGTCACATAGCGCTGCAACGCTCCGGCTGTGTCGACAGCCACCCGTCCGGGCGACCCCGCGCCGGTTAGTAGCATGGGACAGTTGGATGTTCAGGGCATTACATAAATGAATTACTTAAATAAACAATTCATTTTCCATGGACGCGGCGTGGTCGATGCTTCGCCCCGTCAAGCATCCACGTATCGACGGACCAAATCGAGTCGAACCGACCTACGTCGGCTCTGTACCAATGCCCATGCCAGCAGCATGGATTCTCCGCTGCCTGCAACTGGTGGTTGCTGCTCAGTTCAAGAAAATTATCATCTATTCAAGTGAAATAGATAAACATGACCTCTATCATTGCGTTATCAGGATGCGGCGCCGCGAAACCATCCGCCGCTCAAGAAGAATGGCCTCTCCGGACCTTCGCCAACTCAGCACATTGTGCGGCGGCGAGGCGAGCAGGAGCATCGCCTTGTGAAGGAGCCAGCTTCCATTGAGAGCAGCCACATGCAGCGCAAAAGGGCTGCACGCGCGACGTTGTCGCTTCAATGCGGTGGATCCATTCGAAGTTGAAGTTACCTTGGACAACGGAGGAACATGGGTCGTCCATCGCGACATCCCTTTCAACGGACGTGTCGCGATGTGTGCTCCATCGGCTTTGCGTGCCTGATAAAGGCAGGTACTCACGCCAAGTCACCCTTTCATGGCGTGTGAACCCGAAACAACGACGCCACGATTGTCTCCGCGCTGAAGACTGCATTGACCCCAGTCCGCTCCGTTGGCTGCCGTACTGAAGCAACTCTCGCTCACCCACGAAATCCAAATTCCTGGGTTGAGTTGTCGCAGAACGTCGGCGGCATACTCTCGCGCTGCGTGTAAACGAAGTCCAACACGTGAGAGCTTTCCCACGACAGCACGTTCGATGGAGGACGACGATGGAGCTGCGTTCGGTAGAGAGATTTTCATTCAAGAGGATTCACCGCCTGGGATGGACGAGCGTGGCGGGGATGTAGTAGCTGTTGCTCTCAAACACGAGAAATGCCGACGGCGACGGCATCGACGGCGGGTCCTTGACTACATACAGGACATCGAAGTCGACAAGGTAGAGCCCCAGAAGATTGACCATCCCGACGCCGCTGCAGTACGTGGCGAACTTGGACACGCTGTAGAGGAGCAGCATTTCCGTCTTGTTGAGAATGCCAAAGTCGAACAGTGGCTCGACGACCAAGTACGGCACGTTGAGCGCGACCAGCAACAGGACAAAGACGTGCACAGACTGGGTTCGGTTCAGCCCCCTTGCCTTGGGCGAACATGCAAGGACGATGCCGAGCACGACTGGATACAGCACGGCAACCCACCGAACGCAAAAGATGGTCCAGAATATGTTTTCCATGAGAAGTTGCGCTGGTGGTGGCGGTAGTTTGCCAGGGCCTCCAAGTCCCGGAGGACTGCCACCCGCCACGCCAAGAGGTCGAATTGCCGGCGGTGGCGGAGGGACCCAAAGCACGTCGACAGTCGTAACCGCGACGACCTGAGCAACGCAACAAGCTTGCACGAAGAGATGGTACCATCTCAATGTCTTGCGTTCGTGGACGAGTCGGGGCCGCCACACCCACCGCTGAAACTCGTACGTGGCCAAGATGCACCACAGCGACGTCGCGTTGAAGAACATGTCAGTCACGAGCGTCGTGTACAAGATGACCTTGACCCCTAATGGAGGTGGAGGTGGTGTAAAGCCTGGGGGAGGCGGGCCTATCGGCGGCTTCGGAGGCCCAGGATCAATTCCAGTATAGATCAGGACAATGCGCACCAACGTGCTCAACGACCACAGACCGAGTGACAGGAACACCATGAACATCGTGGAGTGGGTCGCATGTTTCCGCACAGACTTCCATTTGAATACTGTGGCGCACGCAGTGAGGGTCATGCTCGCGGACAAGGCCAATGCAATGCTGTCGAAGAAGAGCATCGCGCGCGCCTCGTTCTGGTTTTCGTAGTGCCGCAAACTCGCAAACGTCGACACGTTGCCAGGACCAGGAGGGCCACGCAGCGTTGTTGGAATAGGGGTCGCCATGATGGTCGGGGTCACTCCAACGTGGGCTTGCGCTGAGGACGGCTTCGAATTGTGAGCGTGCGTCCCATGTTGAGTTGAAAGTTCGCGCGGACTTCTTCGAGATACTTACACAGATCGTGAACCTCTACAACCCAGGCGAAAGTACTGTTCGATGCTCTGTCATTTTTTCATTATTTTCAACACTTTTGTCAAAATATACCCTAGAATTGCACAATTTTTTACCAATGTGCGTGGCGTTGTTGTGTAGTTTAACGAATGCGTCATGTACACATGAACTGATCCGAAAGGTGCCCAATCACAAAGCGATGCTGGGGAAAAGGTCCAGTAGTGCACTGGACCAAAGTAGTTCGTTTGAAAGGGTGCTTGTCGGAGCTCTGCGACACCTTGAAAAGAACTGCTAGGCTGTTCCCTTTTAAATGGAAAAGCCAGTTCAGTCGAAGGCGTGACACTTGCAAAAATCAATGTATGCACAAATTATACAATGTGAGAGGAATACGATGTCGTGGTGATTGTCCGTATCGACAGTTCACAACACCATTGAGTTAGCTTTATTTCTTTTGATAATCGTACTAGTATGGGGGAATTTATTGACAGAGTGATGTGTGAAGTGCATCAACTTGAGAAATGGATAAATGTATTATGGCAGTATATGCTTATCTTAGAGGAAACCAAATACTAATCCGAGTCGCTATCCTCATCACTGGAATTCCCACTCTCGGCCGACGAATCTTCATCAGACTCCATTGCGTCCACTTGGACGAGATGATCGTGCAATGCTTGCAACTTCTCCTCCGCGGAACGCACGCACCCTTTGATTGAATGAGACTTGAGGTTGTCAAATGCTACCTCAAGCCGAGTCTTCACTTCGGCAAATTTCGTCATGTCAGTGTATTGACGGCCAACTCCCCCTTCTTAATCGCCCAAACCAATTCGATTGGTTGAAGAACAGAATGGTGGAGTGGGGTGTAGATGACAGCGTGCCCCCGACGCTTTGCCATGTCCACGATTACAGGGTGGATGTTTGCCTTGATGTACACCACCAACTTGTCCCACAGCTGGCTCTTGTAGTCGTCTTCAGTTGCTTCGATTCCATACGCAGCACAAGCTTCCACCAGGACACCTTTGCGGCGTCGGCTTGTGGGTGTCGATGCTGTCAAGAATAATCCACGCATTCTTGATGCCATCAGCACCCAATTCATCTAACAGGCACTCAAACCACTTGACGTAGTAGGCATGGTCGAACATCCCATGATAGTCCTTGGGCACCTTGCCTGTCTTGGGACCACTTGAGGCTCGCTTCGAACCACCGGTGAAAATGTCCAGCGCCATGACCTTGCTCGGCGTAGTGGGGGAGTCAAGCACAGCCGCAACAAAGCAGTAACATCTCCCTTTGTGCTTCTCTTTGGACGGGATGTCGTTCTCGTCCGATGGGTCATACAAGCTCTGATGGTGCGCCTTGTAGTGGTGGTGGATGAAGGATTCGTCGGTATTCACGATATGTGGTCTGTCCTATCCCAGTATACTAGTATGTGGTTGCATTTTGCGCACGTATGCGTCACGAGCAAGAGCGTTACCATTGGACAGGTGGTTTGTGGACGACCCGTTACGTCGACCTCGTTTGTAACCTTGCGCCTTCAGGAATCGTTGCACCGAACGAAGGGTCGACTTGAACACCTTCTTATCGTTGATGTCGAAATCAAGGACGAACATCCACCGGAGGTGCACCATGATGTCAACCGCGGTGGTCCGGGTGCGAGTTGCGCGGTGGTCACGAACAAAGGCTTGCACCTTCTGCACGACCAGCTTGGACCGTGGGATTTTGGTGATGTGCGTTGTTCGATTCCCCGATATTGGCGCAAAGTCACGGTCTGAGACTAAAGGTATTCTCTCCACATCTTTTGGACGAAGGTAATATTGCGCCCCAGGGCGTCTGCAACGGATCTGGATGCTGCTTTGACAGAAGAACCAACACGGCTTACTGATAAACTAACACTTATACTGTAGCTGGTCTTTGACCTTGCCCTGGGACCGGAACCATGCTTGTAAACGGACAATATCGAGACGCTCCTCTCTGGTCACGTTACGGTGCCGAGCATCCTTGGCAAACGCGAGGCAT